CACTCCCGATCATAAGTGCGATAGGGGGAGCCGTGCCCTCTCCAGGTGAAGGGGTCTTTGCTATTCCATCCTTGTAAGGTGAAGGGGGTAAGTGAGCCCTGAAAGCAAAATGCCCCAACAAGTTACATACCATTCCAAAGCAGAGGTCATGTAGAATCGAAGTAAATTGTTGACTTTTTTCTAGGTCTTCTGTGCCGCGAGATAGGAGGCATTTTATGTACTTAATATATCAGCTGGTTTTATGTCCTCACCTTCTGCTCTCCAAATGAATGCTACGAGAAAGTCGACGGTCTACGTTTGTTAATGAAGACTTGCTTTTTAACACAGATAGGTAACCAGCAGTGATTAGGTCTTCTTTTGGCAGAAATCTGCTCTCAAAAATGAACATAATTTTAGATAAAATGTGGCGTATCTCTCGGTAGAGTGGGGCTAGAAAAAGTCGACGGTCTACGTCGAATCCCCTTTTCCTGAGCTTTCGAATGGTATATAGAATGCTGGATGAAAAAACTTACCAGTTTTTGAAAATGGGGTGGAGATATTTAATATTAGCTTGCTCCACCCAGCTCCCCCAATGTATTGGCTTTTATCGGTCACCTGAGTAAGTGTTTTTTAGAGCCGGGAAGCAATAAAGCCCTAACACGCTTTATACCCTTCGAAAGCTGAGATCATGGAGTATCGAAGCAGACCGTCTCTTTTTTCATTGCTTCTCTGTGAAGCGAGATAAGAGCAATTTTATACGCCTACTCACCTGCTAATTTTGTGTAATTATTTTGTGCTGCATTTTTAAGACAAGGGACAAAGATACACATAAGAGACGGTCTACGTTTACTGACAAGGTCTTGCTCTGTGATGCTGTTAGACAATCAGGTACCTTCATTCATTCTTCACGCAGAAATTTCTTGACAAAAACACACATGTTTTTAGCTAAAATGCCATGTATCTCTAGGTAGAGGGGAGCTAGAGAAAAAGAGATAGTCTACATCGAATCTCTTTTTCGTGGGCTTTCTAAAGGTAATATCTGCTCCCTCGAAGGCGGTCGCCCAAATAGGTTGAAAGCACGCAAGGCTGTGGCGCGCGGGCAATTGTCAACCACAGGGCGCGCGCACGCTTGGTCAACTGTCATCCAAGTTAGCGTACGCGCGACCCGTGGCTGACAATTGCCAGCGCGCCGCGTGCGCGTCATCCTTACAAGCTTTCAACCTATTTACGCGACCGCCTTCGTCATGGAGCAGATATTATACAGAGTGTCCCAAAAAAAATGTGCCTACTGTTTGATTGTGAATAACTTCCTTGTAATGAAGTTTTTCGAGAAGCATTAGGCACCGTTTTGTAGAGCGAGGTTAAGCTTAGATTTGCAGTATGGGGCGAATCATCTATCTCTCTTCATTACTGTAGGATACGGTACGAAATTCGACAAGGATTTTAGGGCCATTAACGGCTATATTCTGCCTCGGAACAAAACCAAACAAGCCAGAAACTCTCATACTACGGTAAAGGGAGCCGCTGATTCCGAATTTGAAATTTCCATTCTACTGTGATGCTTCTTTCCAAAGTTATCCCCGGTAAATCGTGATAGCTCAGTTCCCAGCATTTGTCAGAAGTGTAATTATACCGTCAAAAAAGCTGAAAACATTCGCAAAAAGTTGTTAGATGGAATCAGCATGCGTGAAAACCTTAATAGACGATTTTTCAGATTTTTCGAAAAAAATCTTGTTAGGTGATAAATTTCACATTAATTCCATATGCTGGAAGTTCCTACCGTAATCCTACAGTAATGAAGAGCGATCGATGATTCGCTCTATGCTGTAAATTTAAGTTCAACCTCGCTCTACAAAACGGTACCTAAAGCTTGTCAAAACACTTCATTACAAGAGAGTTATTTACAATCAAACAGTAGGCACATTTTTTGGGACACCCTGTATAGGTTGTCGGGTGAAAAAACTTGTGGCTTTTCAAAAATGAGGTGGAGATATTTAATACTCACTTGCTCCACCCCGCTCCGGCTTTCTATGGGTCGCCGGAGCAAAACTTTTTTGGACTGCTAAAGCTTTGTGCACCAAAATTTTGTAAACCATTCGATAGCTAAGAACACGAGGAATCGACCTAGACCGTCTCTTTTTTTCCTAGCTTTTCTATGAAGCGAGATACGAGCAGTTTTATCTAGTTACAGTATCAGCCAATTCTGGATAATTATCTTTTCAAACCAAGAAGGTCTTTTTCGAAATTTTATATATGATTCGAAAGCATGAGAGACGAGTGATCTAACTGCTTTTTCATTTGTTATTATTCTCCTCAGTGAAAGGAGATATGGTACGATTATTGTCAGCAAACATGCATCATCATGCACTAACTAGTCCAAATTTTCTACTCTTGCTTAACTCTTTCTTGAGACAATGTGTAATTGATACAACGTTAATCATTCAAATAATCAGACATCCTTTTAATTTTTGATTATGTTTCGTTAGCAACGCCACTTTGAGTGCGCAGACAATCTCGAGCATGCGTTTTTTCAACAAAACGCTGTTGATTCGATAATCTCTTGCAGTCTTGATGTCTGAGAAGAAGAGCAGCTGGCGTTTCCTTACTAAACAGAAAGTGGCATTGTAACAGCTGTTTGATTCTGCCGTCATGCCTTGATTCTAGTCTCAATCTCAGGTGAAAGGGTCAGCCAGATGCCGGCCCTAAAGTGAAGGGGATGAGGGAAATTTCTCCACCTATGGCATCTGTGCATGTATACATACATACCAGTACATACATACAGACAGACAGCTTTATATATATAAGATTACACAGTTTACGAAAGCGCTCTTTAACTCATTTATCAGAAAGCTCGATTCTATGACTATCAGTGGAATGAACAAAAGCTTGGAAACTCCTCAAACCAGCTGTACGTTAAAACACACTTACCTTTGATGCTTTTGAAAGCAATAAACAGTTATCAGTTCTTTTTGAAAAAGGTGAAAGTCGCAGATGTTGCAAATCTTATACAGGGTGTCCCAAAAAATGTGCACACTGTTTGATTGTAAATAGCTCTCTTGTGATGAAGTGTTTCGAGAAGCTTTAGGTAATATTTTGTAGAGAGAGGTTCAACTTAGATTTACAGTGTAGAGCGAATCGCCAATCGCTCATTCTTACTGTAGGATTACGGTAGAAACTTTGGAGAGGGTTTTGAGCCATAAGGGCTATATTTTGTACTTGTACTTGCTTGAATGTACTTTAAAATGTTGAAAACAGCCACGAAAGTTGGTGAAAAAATTTCTTGTTAGTTCGTGAACGTCTACGGTCTCTCGCAACAACCGCTCCCTTATGCTGGTGTTCATAGCACGGCGCGGGCAACTATTAGGTTGGAAAGAAATGAATGTCGCTTTTTATTTCCTTGTCATGGCATCGCAACAGGACAAACCCCCGAAAAGTGTGTTGCGTACCATTCGATAGAGCAAAGCAAGCTCTACTAAACGGCATTACTGCTTTTGCACTACGTTATGTCCACGTGTAGTTGGAAGCCGAAATCTGAAAAGTTTCAAATGACCGAAAAATCAAAACAATTCTTATCTCCGTCCAAAAAAAGAGTCCCCGCCTTGCTCAGGGACTTACACCCTTGATCAGATATTCAAATGCGCGGTTGCTGTACTTTTTCTTCGGCTAGACATTAAAAATTGCAAATTTCCACACTTCCGTTAAAGTGATGCTGCGTTGTTTCCGCTTATCTACTTCTTTACTACTTAGTTTGGGAAGTACAACGGTAGGTTTCCAGCCTTCTAGAAAAGTAAATTCTTGAGAAATATCAAATTTAGCTTTTTTCTTCTGTACTCCAAATCAAACTCGATATTTTTCGAAAATTAACTTTTGTAGAAGGCTGGAAATCTACCGTTGCACTTCCCAAACTAAGTAGTGAAGAACTAGACGCTCCGGAACTAGGCAGCATCACTTTGACAGAAGTGTGTTTTCCGATTCTTATTGTCTAGCCGAAGAAAAAGTACAGCAGTCAGCGCACATGAATTTTTGATGAAAGATGTAAGTCCCTGAACAAGTTGGGGGTTTGTAGAAAATGTTTAGACGGATATACGATTTTTTTTGATTTTTCGGTCATTCTAAACATCTTAGATTCCATCCTCCAACTACACATGGACATAACTTGGTGCGCCGTTTTGTAGAGCATGCTTTGTCTATCGAATGACACCCAACACATGTTTTGGGGGTTTGTCCTGTTGCGATGCCATGACAGGGAAATAAAAAGCGACATTTATTTTTTTTCCATCCTAATATTTAGTTTCACAAGGCCTATGCATCCTATTGACCTTAAAAAACTCATTTTCTTAATTACATGTTAACACACGTTTGCTGCAAGATTCTAAGTAAACGACGGTTCTATTTAGTTCATTTGCTGCTTCAGATGCAGATCGTAAACTTGCTAATTATTGAACATCCCAGTTTTATCTTATTGGACGGGGGTATCTAAATTCAAACAGTCTGTAAAAACAGCACGGCTCTGAAGTATGCAAGATGCCATAAGATTAGCATACACAAAAAGCGTGATATTGCTTTAACAGGCTAAAAAACAAACATCTTTGCAAAGGTACAGGTGACCACAATAATCTATTTGCTGGGTCTAGGAAAAAATAATGAAGATACAGAATTTGATTTGACCAATTATAAAGCTCCCTTCAAATTGTCGTTAGTATTTCAGCCTTCTCTGTTAACGTATGTAACCTCAATGGAATCTCGTAAGGACTTGAAACGATTGCGAACGATCAAGAGCTCATTTGTCAATCTGTCTTTCCCTAATCTGCAACGTGACTTTTCAGAGGCGAACGATAAATGTTCATTTGACCTCACAACAAGCACTATCAACAGAACAGAGTACAATCTAATCCCTGTACGTGGGTCTTATCATAATGAGCGACATATAAGAGATTGCTGTGTTGTGCACATTACGTTTCATTTCCACGCATGTCACTTAAAACACAATTCCGCGTACATCAAAACGAACTTTTTCTTACAGCAACGATGTCTGACCCCGATGATTGCTTGGACTTCGTAATGTAACAAAAAATTTTTTGAAATATTTATTTCTAGATATGGGTGGCCTACTTTGCATATTACCATGTCTTTTCTTTGTAGTTGCTGCTGATCCGTAAGTCAACAATTACAGTCGGTGATTTTGAACTATTGATATGCAATTAAGATATGATGATCCTAATACACTACCTAACAAGCAAGTGATAGTGCAACTGTTCGAATGGAAATGGAAAGACATAGCTGCGGAGTGTGAGAACTTCTTAAGATACTACGGCTATGGCGCCGTTCAGGTACTGTGGGACGACTTGGAACTTCGTGTTAAAGGCAGTATCCGGGCAGATTTGGACACTATAGGATTCTACCATAACCGAGCACTAGGACCTCGATCCAGAACTACTGCGCAAACCCGACCTCTAAACACCATTCGTAAAAGGGAAAAATTGGTGCACAAATCACAAGAGCCTTGAGAACCCCGCCCACTACCTCGCACGGCCCACCCCTCTGAACGAACACTCCTCAGCCCTTGACTTGTTTTCACCTGACAAACACAATGGAACATATGGTGACTACCTGTTATTGATTGTTTTCGGCAAGGATTGCATTAGAAGCACTCGTCCACGCTCTTCACAATGTCTCAAAAATGGGGTTTTTTGAGGAATTCACACATTTTGGATGCCACATTTGGAATCAGCGCCATGGAAAAGCCTGCATAAAGCGGAAAAATAGAAGTCGAGATTCTGCTTGGACGCTGCCTTGAACGAAGATCATAAACGCGAAATTTCAGATTTCACCACCTAATGAGCATATCACCTTGACTCAAAATAATGATATGCCGTGGTGGATCAGGTAGGTCCACATTCCTACGAATCACGCAAAAAAAAAACTGGAAACATTTCGATGGCAGATATCAGCCTGTTAGCTACAAACTCCAATCACGTAGCGGAACCGAGGAAGAGTTTGTGGATATGGTCAATAGGTGTAACAATGTCGGTGTGAGGTCAGCGTTGAGAAAAGCAATTTTTGAAACAAGTGTATAGATGGAAGCGTTTAAGAATTATCGCTGATGCCGTCATCAACCACATGACAGGGGCAGACCAGAAGAAGGGAGTAAATGGTCGAGACAGCAGCGCTGGCTCAGATTTTGACGCAACACAAGGAAGCTTCCCTGGAGTAAGTAAGACAAGAAGTAAAATGTAATTTCGTCATCAATGAAAACGGACCCTACTGCTCGTCTGATTACCATTATTGCCGTAAATTGAAGATTTTTTTGGGAACAACGAATTTGTGTCACAGCAGGGATAGATGGCAACATAATCTTTGATGTAACTGGCTTGGCGGTTGGAAGGTGGGGCATTTACCTACCCTAAATTAGGTCACGGAGCCTCGCCTTCCAACCGTCAAGCCAATTGAATCAAAGGGTAGTTCTGACTTTCTCAAGTATTGCTGACGTTTAGGTTCCATACTCGTCGTCAGATTTTCACGAATGTGCTAATGACATAACACCTGAAGACCTCAAAAGCAATTGCCAAAACGTAAGAAAATAGTTCATGGACCAGTAGGACCATGAAAGTTATTATTTAGGTGAGAAATTGTCGACTCTATGGACTGCTCGATTTGGATCAAACTAAATCGAACGTTCAACAAAAAATTATAGAATATTTCAACCACTTAATCGATATCGGTGTAGCCGGATTTAGGTTCGTGAGTTCTTTGAGCATACATAATCAAAATCAATGATTCATTTCAGCGTAGATGCGGCAGCATATATGAAGCCGCAGGATGTACAAGCTATCCAAGACGGAGTAAAAGACTTGAGAGAAGATGTGAGTTCATAGGAACTTGTTCGAATATGACGTCGATTGTAAAATCTACAGATTTTTGGTACAAACAAGCGCCCATTTTTCGCGCACGAAGTCGACGTTATGGGAAATATATCGATCCAATGTAGCGAATACACCGAGATTGGAAGGTTTTCGAAACTGTGAATGTTTTTGGAGGCTTCAGGCGTTTTTTCAGGTGCGTAAATTTCCCCTATAGTTTGACCGTATCAAGAGCAGCAAGGGGATATTACGCTTGGAAGTAAGTCTATGACAACCAAAGATGCTGCTAAAGGAAACTTTTTATTTTTGCAGCTACTTGCAAAAGCTTGGACCTGGTTATTTCGAAGGGTACCATCACTCTGCAAGCAACGATGCATTAGTCTTCATTGACAATCCTGCCACTCAGAGGGGAAATTGGGAAATTGTAAGTAAAAAAAGCAGGAGCTTTTTACGGAAAGTTCAAAAAATTGCAAATGCATTCGAAAATATTTTACAGATGACATACAAAAACAATACAGACAACATATTCCAACGATACAACTTTGCAGTCGCGTTCATGTTGGCATGGCCCTATGGTATTCCCAGAGTTATGAGCAGCTACTATTTCAACGACGCAGATCAGGGACCGCCAAGCGCGGGTGCTGCGGGAAGTTTTGAGGTAGCCTAGCAACTAAGGTAGTGCAATGTCAAATTACTGGTTGTAGACTAATTCACCAACTTTCAACCAAGATCTTACCTGCGACGAAAGTTCCGGTTTTGTATGTGAACATCGCTGGCCGCTTATCAGGTTATTTCTATACTTTTAAGGTCGAGTGCACAAAAATGCCCATATTGCTCTAATCTGAATGCGCCGAGCGTGCCTGCAACGCGGCTGCTGAGTGCGGGCGCTATGGTGACTCAAGCGCCCGAATGCCAGTTAGCCCGTAAAAGACACGCTCGCGGGTTCCAACCTTCGCAATTTGGTGCAACCATATATACCTACGCGGCTATTAGGTTCCGCGATGCAACGAAACTAAACATCTTGGATGCTACTTTCTCCTATGGTGAAGGACTGATTTATTATGTTTTCAAAATCAGAAAATGATATAGCGAAGCACATGTTTATGGGTACTCGATTTAGAGAAATGACAAAATTCCGATCAGTGACGGAAGGTGCAGAAGTAACTGAGGTAAGCAAAGACTTCTGATTATGAAACTTCTTTCATCCTTTTTTTGACGAGTGAATGGTGTAAGCCACATTGACCATTGCTCAACGATGCTAGGTTAAAGATTCCAGTTAATTCAAGTTTTGAAGGTAGTCACACAATTCCGGGCCCTCGCTTTTGCACGCAAAGGAAAAGGATTCTTCGCCATTACAGAAAGCTGGGTTCCATTCACAAGGTTTGTAGAAGCACATGACCCAATCATTTTTTATGCCAGTTCTTTTCTACCCAGAGTTTATCAAACGACGCTGCCTGAAGGCCAGTACTGCGATGTATGGACTGGATATCTCAAAGATGGCGCATGTACGGGAAAAACAATCACAATCGGCAGTGACGGTACCTGAAGACCCCCAAAAGTATTTGCTTACAATTAGCAAAATAGCAATGACTATGTTTTTAGGCACAGCAGAAATACCTGTCTATCCAGTGGTAGCCATCTCGCTTGCCTCAAAGATTGGTATGTGATTTGACAGACACAGCAAGACTTCTAGAAGAACTATGAACATTATGGATGAGAATTATTCTAGGATATGAACCGGGACCGGATCCGCCAGTGCCTACACATGCTCCAGGGCCACGAACATCGCGCAAGCCATTACCTACAAAGACACCTGAACCACAACCGCCGACGGAATCTCCCAAACCACAGTCGACAACTCCCAAAAAGAAGCCAACAACACCCAAGCCACAGCCAACAACTCCCAAGCCGCAGCCAACAACACCCAAGCCAGTGCCAACCACACCTAAACCACAGCCAACAACTGCGAAGCCGAAGCCACCAACGACACCAAAACCACTGCCACCCACCGCTCCACCTGTCGGCTACAGCAAGACTGTGATTTTACTCCAGATGAATACTAGAGTTGGCGAATATGTCTTTGTTCGCGGTGGAACCAGCCATCTCAATATGGGAGGTACCGTTCCTTTTTCTACTTTCCTATGAGTAAAAACATTACCACCAATGTTTAGTTTGCGCGCCCAGTCCTTATCAGCAGGAAACGGACAAGTGCGCTATTCCCATCAAACACACCACAACAGTTCCCAGCAGCTTCCTCGAATATGTGTACTGGAGTCAAGGAGATGACTACCTCGACTTTGCAGGGCCAGAAAGAAATCAAGGTCTGCACATAATGAAAGCAAGCAAAACATCAATTCATTCAGCGCATAATTTGCGAATATTCATGATATTTCGAGTAGGGCAAAATTTAATTAAATTAACTTCTCATTCATTATTGTGATCATCTAAAACGTAGGATTATTCAACGGTCGTCAATCATCCGGTACTCCTCTGGCATATTCGAGCAACAATCCGTCTGACAAAGAATATCAACCATACAATAAGTATGGCAGAGGCTATTGGATTGCGGAGATACTTATGGACTGCTCAAAGACTGACAATGGATGGTTCGAAATGAAGGTGAGCACATTAGAAGCAGCATCCAGGCAAACTTGAAACATATGGGGATCTCACGTTTCAGGTTAGTAATTTTGGGGCTCTAACTAAGCCACTGCCCAACCGGCAGCTCAGGTAGTGCTTTAACGGCTGAGCTGTTCCCCTCGAAACTAGACTCCATGATCGTAGTTCGCATTCATGGCGCAACTCGTGGGTCCTCGCGCAAAACTGATGGGTTGCGTCTTGAATGCGTGCAAATGCGGTCCAGGGGTCCAGTTTTGAGGGGAATATCTAAGCCGTTAGATCACTACCTGAGTTGCCGGTAAGGCAGTGGTTTACTTAGGGCCCAGAAATTACTATCCATAAAGGATCCTCATACGTCCAATTTGTCTGGACGTGCCCTTAACACTAAAATGTATGAGGGCAAAAATTTCTCCGTTAGGGTTTCCTTTATCCATATAACCGCTGGGAGAATGATATCCATCAAGGCATTTGCACTGGTAGTGTCGGAGGCTCTGCTCATTTCCAAAGTATCAATCATATTGGAAAATGTGGAGCCGTCAACGTCTTCCATTGGGGAAATGGTGCATGCACTATTGATGCACTTTGATGCGAAGAACAGAATAAATTTTCCTGTACTTTTTGTACTTTTTGGGTACTCCTTGCACCTAAAAATTCAATGTGTTCATTATCTTTGCTACATGTTTTGGCAATAAATCTGAACAAATTTGAAAAATTATTAAATCAGTCCGATTAGTCAATAGAGTGCTCAATAGATATGTCAGATATAAAGATTAGAAATCCGACTGAGAATTGCCTTTATTACATGTGATCGTGTGCCGAAGGTAATCAACAAAAAAAGGATTACGCTGTCTCAGCAGAAAAAAACTGCTCTTGACAACAGTTTTTATAACTATAAACCTTTGCTAAGGACGCATATTGTAGAAAAAAATTATACAATGGTGGCCTCAACTCCTATATCTGAAAGTATAATGTCATGTCCAAAGGAGGCAAAACTGCCGAATTGTTACATAGTGATCGCAGTCCGCTCTTTGGGAACGGCCATAGGTTGCCGGCAACGGTTGCCGGGGTTGCTGAGGTTGCTCTGTACGGTGTCTTCACTTGCGAGTGGAGACACCGTGTACCTACCGTACCCACAAGCCAATCGCTTTCGAGGGCAGGCATACGCCGTCCGCCCAAATAATGCTTTTCATGTCTGGAAAAGCTGGTTATTGGTATTTTTTCGACCCCTGAGAAGCACAGTCTCGGACTTAGCTGATCCAGGGGAACGGGAACGATAAATATCCCAAAGTTGTCATTCTGCCGAGCTATTGCCTTTAACTGGGGTAGTGATCAGAGAGCACTCGTGCGAGAGAGACTCATGCGTCGCGGGCGCGAACGGCCTTAATTAGGTCACAAAACCGCCCAACGGAGCCAAGCTCGTTGAATCGAAGGTTACTACAAGCATAATTCCTATCTGAGCATCAACTCTCCGCATTTTGTAACTGTGTTCCGATTTTTTGTCACTGTACAGTGGGTTGAATTGGCGGGCGTCCGGTTTGCGACGGTTTACGCCGTTTCGAAGCTACAGTATATCGCACCGTTTTGGAACCCATGTCTGTATTTCCTCATTCTCCTCAATCTTTGCTTGACAAAACGCTCGCAAAGCCTCTAGCGTAGCGAACGCGCTAATCCACATAAGATGCTTCGCCTACTCCGAATATAAACATACTGTATATCCTAAGGGAATCTAACTGACAGCTCCAGGGGGATAACGCGGCGGTCAGACCCTCGTTGAAGTATGCCGTGAAAAAAAAAAAACTTTGCGTGTGTAAGAAGAGAACACTAGAATTACGCAGGTTGCATCATGTGTTGGGTCTGAAACGTGTTGAGGTAACGTAAAAACAATCAGGCACTTAGAAAACATATGCAGCTTTCTAAGTAAGGTTTACATTAAAATCTCCAATTTCGAGTGGAATTGATACACTTCAAATAAGGGAAGTAGATATACAGCCACTGACGCACGACAGATATCCAAAACAAGTATTTAACTTTGTTTCGTGGAGGGATTTGCTCTCAATATCAAGGTCGTGCTTGCGCAGTGCAAAAACCTATTCTAGGTCTTACTATATAATGCTGATCAGTATAAAAAGAAATGTAAACAAGTGTTCATTCCAAAAGCTTCGTCGAAAACCGGCATTTATGGAGAAGCTTTAAAGAAATATGGAAAATTGACTTGGATGAATCCATGTCTTTGTGAGTTCCATGTGAACATAATATAGACAGACATTCTTTACTAAGCAGATAATTTCACATCATTATGTTTCCAATAGTCATTGCCAGTCCGGGCTAATTGCCTGCATCAAAGATAACATCAGCAGCATGTCTCTATAAGAAATAATAAAAAAAATTGCGGACTTATTCTATTTCATCAACACAACACAGGAGCAATTCACTATTTAAATCTTGCAACAAGTTTACCGAACTTACCGCTAAAATTTACAATTATTTACTTTTGCAGAATGGCTTCCCGTAATCGCTAGATCTGTTTCTCCTTAATCAGCGCTTGATCAGGTCCTGAGGCGAAAACTGCAGGCGCCTTCATGAACTGTGAAGCTCTGAAACGTATTTTGTAGATTACTCTCTAAACGGCGAGTGCCTATTTGTACTTTCTAACATGTTTGGAGAGAAATAGGCATCATTTTATGCCCAAACTGGGTATGTTCCATTTGAGCTTAACATCCACAGACTTCTGACCTGGAGCGACTGAATTGCTCCATATTTGACCTCAAATGTGGAGATTCAGTCATGGACCTTTCTATGATAGCATATAAAATATTTTCGATAAAAGCATCTGAAATCTCAGTGTACAGAAAGAACCCAAAACTTTCAGAGACTTCGACTGACCGTTTATCATTACAGGCCATTTTGAAGATAATAGAAGGTTAAACCTGTAAAAAAAGGTACCACAACAATCGACAAGATCTCTATTTCCTGTTTTGCAGAAATTCTTGAGAATACTGTATGCACTGCTCTTGAGCACAGATGGCTGAACATATGAAATTTCAGTTGAACTTTTATCTGCAAAAAGTTTTAACTTGCAAGAGAACTTTATGAGAATTGTTGCCGACATTTTGTCTATGTCTCGTTGTTAGTGGATTAAGTCAGTTGTTTTAGAGTCTTTTATCAAAATCTGGTTAGATTTTGTTATGAGACTTCTCTTTAAATTTTGTGGTGCAAGATTTTCACAGATGCTCGCACCATTGTAGGTCATCGCTGTCCTTTCAAACATTTCGAAGATTACATATTATGCATAACATGGACAAAGGTGTGTCATTTCTTTACAAATACCGAGAGTAATTGTAGTACTATCTGTTAGTGTTTGAGTATAGGGTTTGGGGAAGTCTTTAAACACGGTATTTTTTCGTTATTAGACAAGATAATTACATGAAATTAATAAATAATCTTTACACGACTGTCTACTACATAAAATTAGCTTTAAAATCTGACAATCTCTCTTTCGACGCGAACATAAGCCCGGAAACGCTTGAGAACGCTATTCTTGGTAGTGCAAAGGTGCTCCACGTTAACTTCCTCTTACGCATTCTAAAGAGCAAGTCGCAGAAGCTCCACAGTTTTGCATGGGTGATCGCAGGCTTTGACCTTAAGAACTGACAAGGGAAGTTCGCCGAATCGAAATGGCCGATTGATACGTGGTATACATCCGGACGCGGGGCTCGAGAGGTTAGTATCAAATGTGCGCCCATTAGCTGCGACGCATTACTGTGAAGCAAGTTATGGCCCTCTGAAGTTTTTGGCGTGTGCATGTCTAGACAACGCACAAGTGCTCCGATTGCGGTCGTGTGGTGTAGTGGTTAGCGTCTCGGACTCACAGGTGACCGGTGAGGGTTCCAATCCTGTTGCCGTCCACATGTTTTGCGTTCTTCTCGAAATTCATTTTTTACCTGTTTCATGCATTACTGACGTGAAAAATGACACATACGGGTGGTTGAACTCTACTAATTATACATCCTGCCGTGCCATTCTCACAAGGTAGCCCATTAGCAAGAATCAATAGTACGACGTGATACAACTTGGAGATTGTCACGAAAATACTACGTGCAATTGAAGAAAGTATGTGGGAGTGAGGATTTGGCATATCTTCGAAGTTAATTGAAAAGCCGTCGCTAAAAAGTCGTTGCTACGTTCTACGAAAATATTACATATGAAGCACTGGTCGAATTTTCGTGAGAAAAATCATCCCGTAACCCTTGTGTGTAATTTTTTACCTCAATAATACATAAAACAGGTAAAAAATGATTTTTGAGAAGAACGCAAAACATTTGGACAGCAACAGCACTCGAACCCCCACCGGTCACCTGTGAATCCGAGACGCTAACCACTACACCACACGACCACAATCGAAGCATTTGTGCGTTCTCTAGACATGCACACGCCAAAAACTTCAGAGGGCCATAACTTGCTTCACAATAACGCGTCGCAGCTAATGGGCGCACATTTGATACTAACCTCCCGAGCCCCGCGTCCGGGTGTATACCACGTATCAATCGGCCATTTCGATTCGGCGAACTTCCCTTGTGAGCACACGCTGTAGTTGAGGGTTTCAAATCCGGCCAATACGGAGGTCATTTCGCAGAAATAATGAAGTCCTCAACGTTGCTTTGGAGTTATGGTTGAATGAACAACCTTGCTTTGTGCGCAGGTGCCTATCCTACTATCACCAGCCGCTCCCGGCAAAACAAAACGGGTACTGGTCCAGGTTCCTTGGTGAGACGTTCAAGCAGTCGATGGCATTTGCGCAGTCAATTCAACTTTTTGTTCTCTCAAAAAGCATTTTTAGTATCCTGAAAAGCTTCATCCCAAGGTCCTCCACGATGTCGGAGACTGCCAGAGACAGACAGCTCTGAAGTCAGCTCCGTTTCGCCGAGGACTGCGATAAAGGCGTTGGCGAGTGATTTTTAGGTTTTTGTAAGTGTCCGCTGTAGCCAATTCAAAACTCCTACAACAGTCCTGAGTGCTGTCTATATCCTGGAAAGCAAGGTGGAAAAGACGCTGATCTGTAAAATTTGGGGAACCCGCGCAGTCTGCTGGTCAGCCATGCTCTCCTCTGCATCTTCACCATCAACGCTCGCTCCGTTCCAGAAGGCATATCTCCAATAGGAATAAAGCTAATAGTCCAGTTTTTGGAAGGCTTGTACTCAAGAGTGTAAGAAGCAAATACACATAATTAGCATATAAGAATATGTGGGGAATCCGAACATACAATGACATCGAAATTTGTTTGACTGTACCAATAAGCACGTGTTCACTCGTTGTGGTGCATGTCGACGAAATGACGAAGCGGTCTCAATGGAGAACAATCTCTAGAAGCTTACAGTAGTCTACACATCTGCATGACCTGGAAAATGCATATTATTTTGAGATGCACGTGAAGTATTTTACAAGTTAAGATCGGTTTTAGTGATGAAATCTTCTCACATTTACGTGGCATTTCATTACAGTAAGCGGCTATCAAAATATTGGAAAATCCTATTATTGCTCATAATACGCAAAATTTCGCTCATTATGTTATCTAATACCTGTTATCACTGATAATTATGAACAAGAAAAACTATTTCCAGACCTTGCTTAATAGGATCATATTTTGTTTCTTAATGCTAATCCCATTTTAGATATGATAATCCGTCGCTTCGTCTTTTTTCAAGCAAGAAAGGACGGCAAAAGTCATCCAAACATCGGCAAAAGGAGCGAAGTACTGTTTTTTTTTACAATAATACCGCACAGAATACAATAGACCTCTTTTATCAGATTTCGTCAGCTACAAGGGCAGCGCATTATCTGAAGCTTTAATTGCGTCTTTCATAGACTCACGTACTTCCTATTTCACCACTGTGTTCCGAACTTTGAGTGTGAAGGACGTAAAGGACCCATTAGCATTAATTTCTTGGCCATATGATGATCTCGCACACTTGCGATTTCGAAGCCTATAAAAATAAAAAAGCACCACTTGTCTATTAACTTTTTCTCCATCCACTTACTATAAAAATCTTGATTGTGTGTAAATAGTAAGGTCTGCTCAAAATGCAATCCGCTATTCTGAGAGATCATGTTGCATCACTTAAAACTTTGACTTACGAGTTACTAAGAATTTCTGAGACATGGGTAAGCTAACTTACGAGATACTAAGAATTTTTGCAGACATGGGTAAGCTAACTCACTTAATACCATGGCTCCTGTTAACAGCAGCTGCTGCTGACCCGTAAGTCAGACCGTATTATTTATTTATTTATTTATTTTGTGCATTCATAGATGCTCCTGACGAACGTGGTTAGTGCAAAAAAAAGCAAAAACAGAACAACAAATAGCCAATCATAAACGGTGTCTCCAGCAGCCATAAGCAGCCATAGTGAATCCAAATTTAGAAGACAAGCAAGCTTAGCCCACTAATTCAACAGCATAAATCATGGTGTGAAAGCCATAAGCGAATCACTTTCAAGCGAATCTAAAGAGGAAGCACCAAGCGAATGGGCGAATCCATGCGTGCTTGGCGGAGGACCTCTTTCAGCTCCCTCTTACATCGCTACCATGAGGAACAAATAAAGGTTGAATAAAATGGGATGGCTTGGAAGAATATTGTGTACGATCCAGAGTAGCTTCTAAGCAAAATTGACTACTGGAGACGAAACTAGGATAAGTGTTAGTGCAACAATCATAACGTTCAAAGATTCAAGGCTAAAAAGGCTATAAAAGTCAGCACTTAAAGAGAAATTCTATTCATGCTCAGATTGTCTCAGTAGGGAGGATAAGTCAATTGCATTGATTTTACGCTTGAATACGTTTGTAGATGAGGTCTGCAGTGCAGTTTCTGGTAATAGTCTAAGCCATCGGGGGATTCTGTAAAACAAACTATTAAAAACCCAACGAAAACGCTTCCTGTAAATAAGTAAATAATGAATGTTAAACCCTATCTGTTTGTAGGTCTAAAAATCCAGTATTTACTTGGGGCAAGTCTCAATTCTTTGTGCAAAAGTCGAAAACCAAAAACGAGATTAAAAAATATTCGTCTATGTTCTAAACTTTTCATTGCCAAAAACTTAAGGCGATTTTCGTAGCTCGGCATATCGACGAAATTGAGTTTTCTACGACACCTCAGATACAGAATACGAGTAAAAGTTTGTTGCACTTTTTCCAGCTTCAAAATATTTTTCTTCAAAAAGGGGTTCCATATTACAGAACAATATTCCAAATGAGGTAACACGTAAGCTCGGTAAAGGCGTTTGAGGATCATCGGATTGTCGGTATGTACGCTACGAAAAATCGCAAATAAAACTGAGCAAGCTTTATTAACTACATTATCAATATGAGCAGAAAAATTTAAATCGGAATCAATCAAAACACCCAAGTCTTTGGCGGTAGAACAGTTTCTCAGCTTGTTTCCATTTATCTCATAGATTGGAATTTCAAGGTCTCCAAAATGCATGACAAAACTTTTTTCAAAGTTGATAGGAATGCCTAAACAAACCGCCCAATGTCTCATTTTCTCAAGGGATACTTTCATTGCGCCTCTGACCTCAGCTTTATTTTCCGCATTGTAAAACCCATAAATTTTTATATCATCCGCATACATTTGTATTGTAATATTCGTTGATGTTTTCGATGCTTGGAAGCTCGGCCGTATACACCAGAAAAAGCAGGGGAGACAGTACTGCGCCTTGTGGGACACCGCTTGTGCAGCTGAATCGCTCCGAAAACTTGTGTCCTACCCGAACAGTCATTCCTCTGTTATACAAATAAGATTTCAGCCATTTTAAAAGGTTTCCACTCAAACCAAGACTCTCACATTTCAACAAAAGTATCATATGGTTCACTTTGTCGAATGCCTTAGACAGATCCATGTAAATGACATCGACAGAGTTGCCTCTGTTAAGCGCCAAATTCCAGTCAAAAACGGAGTCGGCGAGATTCGTCATTGTGGACGATCCCGCCATAAAACCGTGCTGATTCGTGGGAATTACATTGAATTTTGCAAACCAATTCAAAAGCTTATCGCGCACTACTTTCTCCATTACTTTTGCTGCAGTAGGTGCCAAGCTGATGGGCCGGAAGTCCGAAAGGAGTTTAGCTTAGGAACTTTAGGGATCGCGGTTACCAACGCCTCCTTCCAGACCTGCGGCACCTCTCCAAGCATCAATGATATGTTGAAAATATGCGAAAGAGGAGTACAAAGGGATGAAGCGAATTTTTTGAAAACAATTTGCGGGATACCATCGTACGTTTCAGTAGAGGAAGCTCTCAGTCTGATCAAGATCCTCCGGATTTAGGAGGGATCGAAGTAGACAGTAGAAAGGCAGTGATGAACAGTGGGAACTGTAGAGAATTCCGAAGGCACAATATGATCATCGTGAGAGAACACATCGGCGAAATAGCGAGCTAAGGCATGCGATTTATCTATGTCTGTACTAAAGGTATTCCCATTTCGGTCGGAAATAGCAGACAGATGACGGCTTGATTTCAGTTTTTGATTAATATACTGAAAGAAAGATTTCGACGAAGCTTTCATAGCCAATCTGTGTTCGTATGTTTTCAAGAATCTCTTTAAGTGATGATCCACATCTTTGCATACCTTCTTATACATAGAATTCATCAAAGGATTGACCAGAGAATTGAATAAACGTTCTTTCTGAGCTAAAAGCTTCCGTATCTGTGAGGGGTAGCCTTGGCGGGGCTGTTCAAAAAATTTGAACGGGACAAATTTTGCAAGTGCACCGTATATTGTCACACAAAAACGGTAGTATACGTCATCTGCTGATTCATACTGGTCAAATATAGCCAACCAGTCTATGGTTTCGAAATATCTATTGAGAGAAATATAGTCGACTTTCCGAAAATCAGGTGTTGGCAGAGGAATGTGACTGGTCAATTTCATAGAGACAGAAAATTCGACTATACGATGATCGGAATTTGCAAGAGGAGGCATAGTGCGCGCATCCGAGACAATAGGTGAGGTCGAAAACACGAGATCAAGAACATGGGAGCGGTGTGTTGGTTCTGTAACAAACTGCTTTAAACTAGAGTTACGGAAAAACTCGAGATAAATTGATGAAGTTCTATTAAGAGGTTGAGGCTCGGGCCAACTTATCTGTAGATTAAAATCACCTAAAACTATTGTCTTTTCGTATTCGCTGACAAAATTACACAACAATTCGATTACTTTTTCATCACTTGTATATGAGCTATTTGGGGGACGGTAAACCGCTAAAAAGCGTAACCAGGTAGCGTAACCAGGTTCACGTGAAGAGGATATGTCGACGCATAGGATGTTTGACATTGTACTATTGTCAGTAATGCAAGATTTAACGAGAAGAGTACTTTTTGCTAAGCAACAGACTCCACCGCCTCTGCGGCTATGTCTGTCTACACGCAAAATTATATAAGGAAGATTTCCTATAACTTCACTATCACTAATTTTTCCCGTAAGCCATGTCTCCGTAACAAAAACTATATCAGGCTTGTGCTCTGATAGAAATGATTGTAAATGATGTATTTTCTTTACTAAACTTCTAGCATTCAATAGAAAAACTTTGATTGTTTCTTTCTTTTGCCGCTCACCATGCACTTTCACGCGTTTTCCGATCTCCTTTTAGGTAGGTCAGAAACGCGCACTAATTCACTCTTGTAAATTACCCATTCCTTGCTCGCTTTCCCTTTATTTCTCTCACGGGCAATTTGGCGCAGCTCGAACTCGCGCCTTCGCTCCTCCTCCGTCATGCTTCTGCGTATGAAAACGCTAGAATAACCAGCATGACGGAGGAGGTGAGCATTCGCCAATGCCCTCCGCCAATAAAAGGTGGAGGGCATGACTACTTTTATCAGACGCGAGTTCGAGCTGCTCGCTTTACCAATCCAAAACACCTCCGAAGGGGTGCAGTCTACATCAAGAGCGTCGAAAATATCATCCACCTTATTTTGGAGATATTTTCGACGCTCTGATGGCCGCATCCCCTCCGGAGGTTGTGGGACGCCACTAATCACCAAACTACGCCCACGTTTCTCCGCCTCGATCACCTCCGAAAACCCGGAAGAGATTTTCTCAACGAGAACTCCCAACATTGTTCGGATTGTCGGGTCCTTATTCAATTCTGAGATTGACGAAATCAGGTCCTGAATGGACATAGAGCTATAATCAATCCCTCGCTCAGCATTTCTACCGTTTTCCCCATTCTGGGTGGCCTGGGTTGCACTAATTTGATTTTGACTTCTTGTAACACGAGTGCGGGCCATGATCTACGATAATTCGATAAAACGCGGTATTAGTGTATTTCCTTCAAATTTCGAGCATTTAGATATGAGGAGCCTCATACACTGAATAATCGACAGGTGATGGTGCACTTGTTCGAATGGAAATGAAAGGATGTAGCGGCAGAATGTGAAAATTTTTTACAACAACGGATACGATGCCGTGTAGGTACTGTAGTGTACCGTATCGTATCGATCAAAGGGTATTAGTAGATCAGTACACCACCAGGGTAAAGCGGGGAGTGTGGCACGCCACACCGGGGGGTCGGAAGGGGGGCGGGGTAGGTAAGGAGGGGGGTCGTATCGACTCAATGTCAAAAGCTGTTTTTAAGCGGAAAAGCACTGTAACTAAATTTTTAGATGTGCCACACTCTTTTCCAACTACCTCTGACAACTCAGCCAACGTACTTTAGAGAAATACCAAATGGACTCTTGGTTTAGGTACGAGTTGTATTTTCAATAGAATTTCTTGAAAAGCAGCTTTTGCAGTGAATAAATGATGATGTAACGACCGACGAGTGATGTTTGGGAAAGTGAAGATTCCGTCAATACAAATGCAGGATACATTTGAATGACTTATGTCGAAAAAGGGGAACATACGCATATTGTTTTTGCGGTTTCTGTGGAGAATGTACTTTTAAAAACACATTTATCGGTTGCATACGCTAAGATGAGAAAATGAATAGTGACTTATGAAGCGAATTGTCGTACAGATGTGAAGATGTTCAGTCTGTTTTATTAGAAGATCCAATTGAGAAGATGTTCATCTTAACAAGTTCTTCTTGCAGCAGCCGGTTCTTAATTTCTTCTGTGTCCTTTCGGGCATTTAGGCCGTGAACCACCATTTGGCGCCTTACATGGAGTTTGGCCAACTCGTATGCATCTCCTAGATGCTTAGAATGGTTTGAACTTCAAAATGTAAAGTAAATCCAACCTTTTGCAAGGTTTTCTTTTACTGCTTTCATGAGGCTGCCTTCAAAGTGGTTCACACAATCGAGAAAGCGACCTGAGTCCCATTTGCTCTACCGGCCTTTCAGATAACAGTTCCAATAATGCCGTTACTTTGTAAACGATAGCGAGTTGATGTATGGCCCTCATGTCGGGCGACAAAACTACAAACCTTCTTCTGTGCTCTTCGATCCGCTGTTCCGATTGCCTCCGCTGTGATGGAGGAATTCTTCAGCGAGCGTTCTTAGAATAAACAGCAGAAGTTTCTTTTCCATGGTTTGGCAATGATGATGATGATGACGATGCATAGTACAGTGACTGTGTTGGTATTGGAAATCTTCGCGAGTTTGGTTCTGTGCTGCCGTTTACACAGCGGGTTGTGCGAATAGATTTAGTTTCGCTGTACAAACTGTGCAACTAAATCACCAGTCCTGCAAAATTCAAGTTCAATGACACGAAATTGCAGATACCGTGTGCCTACCGTAACCTACCGTACCGCTAATCAAGTATAATTGTCTAATCAGCATGTCGAATAAACCATATGCGCCAATTTTAGCGAACCCTGAGGTCTCCGAGTAGTAAACGAGCTTGTATGAAGCAGTAATTTCAAACATGATTAACTTCATTTCAAAGGTGAGCAAGCTACCTCTTCTTGCACTCAATACAAAGCACTACCCCTTTTTACCTCGCATGAGAAATCCCACTTCAAGAAACCTCCAAGCTGTGGAATCAGAAAACTGCCAAGTCCCACCTACAAACAATGCTTGCGCTTTCATCAACCATTATCTATGCTAAACAAGAACAATCCAGCTCAAATTTCTACTGTGTGTAGTACGAGGTTTCACCTTCCAATCCATTTATAAAAGCCTGAAAAAAATCCTTTTGAAGGTAAGTCAATGGGGTGTGGCACGCCCCCTCCCCCTCCCTCCCTGTGGCTGCCACAGCTTTTAAGGGGGGAGGGGGGTGCCACACCCCATTAACTTACCTTCAAAAGGCTCAAACGAAAACCTTTTTCAAACTATTCTATTGAGCCATCCCCCTCTTTACAGTAGCATTTGCCCCCCCCCCCCCACCCCAAAGCGCTTCCTCTAAGGGCCGCATGCACTAACATCCCCGAGGGGAGGGAATCGCAGCTCAAAAGAAAGCTTTATATTTCAAAACTCCAAATACCTGGATTTCACGTTGTGTACCTTTCCGTAAGTATTCCTACTACCCTTCACTATGAATATGTTGAAGAGGAACGAGAAGCTGTACGAACCGCATTTTCCAGCTTTTGTGTGATCCCTGATGATCCCCGGCGCTTTTCTTTAAAGTCATTTTTCTTTCTCCGAAGTTAACGAAAAACCTCCAGAGTTGTGCAGATTATCTAATCCGACACTGCTAAGCATGTTGCTGATAAGAACAAATCACGTTTTGAAGTCATGAAATTTTCGATGATCTACAGGTCGAAATTTGAGGTTTACCGAAAAATTCGACTTTTCGAAAACTCATTTGTTCTCATCAGCAACATGCTTAGCACTGTTGTGTTAGATGTTCAGTACAACATTAAAAGGTTTTCGTTAACTTCGGAGAAAGAAAAATGACTTTAAAGAAAAGCGGTGGGGATCATCAGGGATCATACAAAAGCTGGAAAATGCGGTTCGTACAGCTTCTCGCTCCTGTTCAACATGTTCATAGTGAAGGGTATTAGGAATACTTACGGATATGTACACAGCGTGAAATCCAGGTATCTGGAGTTTCGACATATAAAGCTTTCTTTTAAGCTGCGATCCCCTCCCCAGCGGGGAGGTTAGTGCATGCGGCCCTAAGAAAAAATACAGGGGATTTTCTGAACCCTATGCGCTGAAGGCACGGCTCTGAAAACCGTTAAAAATATTGGGGTACAGTAGTGCTCGAAATATTGCGAAAACACCGCGGCGCGAACCACAAGGCTTTGAAATCCGCATTCTTTTCACTCGTTCGCACCGCTCTCACATGGTTTTCGTTTTGTTTTTCACTCGCGCTATCTTGTTCTATTCTGCTGCTACTCTCTACTTTGTTCTTCTCTACTATACGCTTTGCAGATTGCGGAATTCACCGAACAAGCCGTCGTAGATAATCTCCAAAAGTGGCTCGCGGACACCAGTGGGACTTCGAGAGAGTAAGTTCTTGGTTCACTTGGTTTTAGGGTTTCATGGTTTCTTGGTTCCATATTTAGATTCAAATACGATTAAAATCTTTTGTTTCACCATCGACATAGTTGTGCATATACGAAATTGCTGGTCGGAGCTGACATTCGGAAACTGGTGAGTAGTTTGAGAAGTACTTTATAAGTGCTGTTTCTTTCTTCACTATTACTCAATTTTCATTTATGTTTTTGTTGTTGTTTTTGTTGTTCTGAACATCGATTTTTGCTATTTTTGCTTTTTCTTTGTACATGCTGCGAATGTGAATTTCTCGCATTCAGATAGGTGTCTGGATTGATGCCGGATCCAGATACGAGACCCTGGCGGATAATGGTACTGGTACAATAATGGTACCCTTCTCGAACATATGGCTTTCAAGGTGAGCGCAAGTGTAAATTAGGTCACTCATTATTGCATTCTTTTTTAAATGTATTTGTGCATCGTGGTCAAGATCTTGCTGTATGAAAAAGCACTTTTGGCGATAGACTCTCCATAGTTGACCCAAAACTCAATATGTGTGGTGCACTGCATTCCAGTACATTACTCTTCATGCGGTGATCACGAGTATTATTTTCTAGACTTACTGCGGGTATACGTGAGTAGCTTTGACTCGACTTTGCTCAAAACTTCTATATATCTACAAAATGCCGAATTGGCGCTTCATGACATCAATAGTGCGAGGAAAATGCGTTTTTTCGAACTCGTTTGATGTGTTGTGTCATACTGCGATATTGCTTTGGAAAAGCATCTTTGGCAAGCCGGGGGTTAACCTTATCGTTATCGACATGCCGAAGAATCCTTCCTTCAGTCAAGGTTGTGAGCAAAGTCGAGTTTTCAACGAACCCGCTTACGTACGCCACTAACTCCAGCATGTGACGCAGTTTATAAAGTATTCGTCATCAACACTGCTATAAAAGCCGCTATGCTGTTTCAGCGGAATTTTGTCTTGCTAAACAGTTAAGAAGGGTATCTTGGGACTAGGACTCTAGGCCTTACCGCCTCCATTGTTTCCATAGTTTCTGATTGCATTTTGCCTTACTTATTCATCAAACCAATGATTTATCAATCTTAAAAAATCCGGTATACTACGAAACTAGACCATACGCTCCATGGTAGTTGACTTGCAATCTAAGTTCAGCTGTAGGGCACATCTCGCCGCACACGGAGTCGATTGGAGCTTGAAATTGAAGACATCGGTGTTCGAATGCTTACACCTCTCGGGAACAAACAGTCTACTATGCAAAATGCTTCTCCACGGATTTAGAGCACTGTAAGTTCCTGCAGGTCAAATAAGTGCAACTATCAATCCTGTTTTTTTGTTCCAAGTTCTTTGCTCCATATCAAATGTGTTTTTGTTATACTGTTCCCATCTAACGATAAAACGTTAAACATTTTGTAATTGGATCTATCATCGTGTTATTGTGTCTACTTTTAGACCATGGATGTCTCCAATCAGTGCGACTTGTTGTGAAAGAAGTAGTAGCGAAAAGGAATGAGCTCGAACCTCTAGACATCGGAACTTCGTCAAAAGCGCTTTTTTCGGGTTCTTCCTCAATACAGCTCGAAATGCCTGTCGATCCTCAGACAATCGCTGGGGGCAGGCGGGCACCGGAAAATATATTGCTGATTTCTCGCACCCCGGTCGCGGATTTTTTGGAAAGCAATCAGGACTTTTCGGAAGACCGCTTGCTGAGTTCTCGATTCCTCAGAGATTCAGCAATATATCTGCAAAAGATAAGAGCGAAAAAAAATTCAACAGGCGGTCTCTCAAAAACCCGCTGACTCAGCAAGCGGTCTTCCGTAAAGTCCTGATTGCTTTCAAAAAATCCGCGAGCGGGGTGCGAGAAATCAGCAATCTATTTTTCCGGTGCCCGCCTGCCCCCGACGTTGTCTGAGATCCCCAAAGTAAGTATTTCTGTTTTGCTGCAAACCATATTTTTTTGTGAATGGCTTATACAAGAGAGTTTTGCACTGCTGCATGGCGGTCGTTTCAAATTAGCAAGGGAAATCTCTCATGAAATTTTTGTGGAAATTTTCCTTAATTTGCTTCCCTTCAAATAGTATTTGTGTGCCTTCTCAACCTGCATCATCCCTATAGCGGACTAGAATTCCTTGTCATTCTATATGATAGCTTGAAAGACATTAGCACAATTAGGTCTTCTTGCAAAAGCTTGTATGATCTGCGACATTTTGGTAGATCGAAATCGGTGAGTGCTATCGGTGAGCTTACTTTCATTGTCTAGCACCGTAAATTTTCTTCTTCTTTTCTTTTTTTTTTCATAATTTATTGGTCTGCTTAGGGAACGGCCATAGGTTGTCGGTGTTGTCGGCGTTGTCGGCGTTGTCGGTGTTGTCGGAGTTGCCGAGGTTGCCGGTCGTCGTAGGACCTCATGATAGCCCCCACATTTCGCGCGCTCTCTAAACTGTCCCTGACTTCGACAACACCGACAACATCGACAACACCGAAAACCTATGGCCGTTCCTCTAGGTACCAAGCGTTTCGACACCGAAAAGCTGATGACCGTGAAGTACAACGTACTATGCTCAAACTACTCAATCAGCTGGGTGGCGGTCAAGATGAACGATAGCATGTGCCAGCCGCCAGCTGGGTACCGTACGCGGTGCGCTGATCGCTCCGCCCCCTTGTTGATTACCCAGGAATGCGTTGCAGCTATTGGAAAACTCTCTAATACTTCGTTCATGCTTCCTCAGTTGGTTGCAATTTGGATAACAGTATTTCAAAAATTCAATTGAATTGAAAGTCAGTTTTCAGATCATTTTTCATTATAAAATTAGTTCGCAAGCTTTTCTAATGTAATTCAGTTATTTCTTCCTAGTAGGCTTGTCCAAAAATGATTTTTCATTGCAGGTATGAGGAAATTGTTTCGAAAATGCTTGAAAAAGTATTTTTCTCTATTCACATCTGTTACCATTGCTTTGTTGCGCACTCTCAAGTTTAGTTTGAAAAGAAGTCAGCTTATCGAGAAATACTATTGCTACCGCTGAAATGACCAATAATGTTATCTCTTTTATCGGAAAAGTAAGTTGTAAAATCCTAACCATAGCTAAAACAGATTGCATTGCGACAAATATTCGAAACAAGCATTATAGGCGAATTTTGTTTCAAGCAAACTTACTCGTCTTGCAAACATGCGGTGTCGTATCACATAAATTTTCTGACTTCAGGAAAATTACACTGCACTTATAAATTCTCGAATCTGCTTTAAATATCAAAAATCTTTTATTTTGCTTCCAAAACTGCTATCCTTAATATAAATCGACATCGATCTGCAACTCCATCGAAATTGCGTGTGAACCAGTCGTGAGATGTGAGGTCACTCAAACAATCATGCCTGAGGTGTTCTAGATTGATTTCACACTTCAAAGTTGGATATCCAGGAGTCACTCAATCATTCATAGGTAAATCAGCAAATCTCTCGAATTCGCGACCATCACATCAGCTGTTCATTGATTGCCAAAAAAAGAAACAAATAATCAAAACAAGCAATCAGCTCGATGGTTTCCAGCCAAATGACGAGATCAAGGTCAGATTATCTGCAGGTGTGCTCAAATCATGTCAGAGTCTATTTAGGTAATTGCTGCTACAAACAGAATCGATATAGTCGACCCTGCGCTGCTAAGATCTGGTCGGCTTGACAGGAAAATTGAACTGTCACATCCAAATGAAGACGCTCGAGCACGTATCATGCAGATTCACTCGAGAAAGAGAACGTCGTTTCGCGGTTTCTTTGACCATGCTGTCAAGGTCATGCTTTTTTTGCTTTCCCTACCTTTGTAATGAACAAACATTAGCAGCATCATCGGAAATCTGTTTAGTCATCGTCGATCGATAATCTTGCATCAGCTTTTTTCGTTTTTTCTTTGGATTTTCTCCGACATTTTTTGTATTACTCTCAAGCACTTCATATCGCGAAAGGCGAAGCAAAAGTAATAAACATGTATTTTAGCAAAGACTTGAATTTTGAAGAGCTGGCACGATGCACTGATGATTTTAATGGAGCTCAGTGCAAAGCTGTCTGTGTGAAAGCGGTAGGTTTCAATCTGCTCTGCGTCTATTGTTCCCTCACTGTCGGTATATAGTGCATGATTGCTCTGCGGCGTGATGCAACCGAAGTGCTGCACGAAGACTTCATGGACGCAATCCTAGAGGTGCAAGCAAAGAAGAAAGCAAGCCTCAACTATTATGCTTGAGCTGTATTTATTTTATATATACTATTGTTCTTGACACAATCTCTCTACACTCTTCCTTCTTACTGCATACATCCTATGATGGCTTGGGATGTATGACTTGTTGTTATTTTTTGTTGAAAAAAAGTTAAAATGTTGTTATTTTTTGTTGAATAAAAAGTCAAAAGGTTGTTATGTTTTTAGAGAAAATTGTAAACAGAGAAAATTATATGGAAGTTAGTTGAAGCTGTGAAGTCAAGAGCGGGGGGGGGGGGGTAGGGAATGGGGTGGAGGGTCGTGCGGGGGTTCGGCCCAAGGGGGGGGGGTCATATCGACGGTCGTGTGCCCCCCCCCCCCCCCCCCCACTTGACCCTGGGTATCACCACCTATGGAACATATCACACTGACACAAAATGGTGACATGCCATAATGAATCAGGTAAATCCATTTGCACCGGGTACAAATTGAGCAGATTTTCTCCGTTATAGATACCAGCCAGTAAGTTACAAGCTGAACTCACGAAGCGGTACTGAACAAGAGTTTACTGACATGGTCAACAGATGTAACGCCGTTGGCGTGAGGTCTGCAAACAAGTCAATAGGCACCCTGTTCCAGCAACCATCAAATTTAGAACCATAGTTGATGCAGTCATAAATCATATGACTGGAGTTTCGCAGAAAAAAAAAGACTGAATGGGAGAGACAGCAGCGGAGGTTCATATTTCAATGGAACGGACGAGGTCGAAAGCCTGAAGTAAGTGAGCATTCGTTAGCGTGATTGAGTGACAAAAAAACTAGCCCTTTCAACCCTTTTATGGAAAGTCATTTGCGTGCCATTCTAAAAGATCCATGATGACCGCGGGTCCAAATTCAAGAAGCAAGCCTCTATAAGGAGAGCTTTTGCAACCACCACGTTATAGCTAGCTAAAGCAAGTGGAAAAAACGCATTCTTTTTAGTCGGAAAGCTGCCGGGATGGATTTTGGCTACATATTATATTTTTAACTTAGGATTAACATATCGGCATCCCCGCATCACCTTCGCTGCCTGTTTTAGCTGTACACGACCAACCAATGTCTTTTTCTATTTTTTCTACAGGGCAAACTCTTTATAGTATGGAGACTGCAACTTGCTTTGACACCTTAGTGTCCATGTAAACGTCACATACTCCATACTGAAAGCACGCCCAGTTTCTGTCTAAAATTGGGTTGTCTCAAGAGCGCACTCCTTTCTCGCGTAAGCTCCGAATTGTACAGGGTGCGAAAAAAACTGTCCCTCGAAATAAAGTTTAAAAAATCGGCGTAATTCACAGGTTTTCTGATGAACGACGTAATTCCCAAGATGTGAATATATTCTAGCATTTTACAAAAACTGGCTTTAAAATTCTACATTTTTCCCCGGCGGCGGATCCCTTTTCGCAGCGCATCTTATATCGGTCTTGCAACTCCCCTTTACAAATTTGAAAAAGTGTGAGGATCTTTGGGAAATTTTTTGTTTGTCACGCGAACCTGAGAATTTCTCTGCTGCTCAAGGAATGTGGTAGTGGGCCCGAAGAATTCTGAAAGTATCCAGTCAGCAGTTGCACTAGGAATACCGCTGTGAATTTTTCTAACGAGTAAGTGGCTGCGGAGCAACAGAGTGAGATCAGGAAACGTTCGCACAGAGACTAGGTATAGTCGTTTATCGCTTCAAAAACGTGATGTAGACAAAGTCCGATGCTCTTTTCATTATTCCTGTTAATTTTTGTTGGAATCTGGAATTTCGAATTATAGTTTGAATCCATTTCATTAAGCAAGCACAGTCCTAACTCGCCTTTTTTTCGAGATTTCGCGATTTGCGGTGATATAATCTTCCTTATTTGGCCAAAACAAGAGTCACCAATCTATAGTTCATCTATAATGGTATAGAATATTGGAGGAGAGGTCATGCACTACATACCAGCTTAATTTAAACCTTACATCAATGCTGGTGGTATACTTACGGTCCAAAATCGCGCTTGTATGCTATCGGCGCATCGTTAAAGGCAGTGGCTCGGCAAATCTCAACCCAGTCAAATTTTCGCTCACCTGTGGTTATTCAACACGCTGATTATGAAAATCCACATTAGAGAGCTCGAAAACGGCGAGAACGAGCGTTTTTCAATGGCATTCCATTTGGATTTGGACGAGCGGAGCAAGACTGATGACGCTGCATCGTTGCGGGGCCCAATGATTATAGCATTGCGGCAGGCAGCCTCCAACGGTGAGAACGAAATTGCCAACTCGTCCGGATGCGTGTAAGATTGGCCTGAGCGTGTAAGTTTGAGAACAATATTTTTCGTAGGGAAGGCATTCTGTGCAACAGGGATTGCACTGTTTTCATACTTGGGCCAGAAGGAACCTACCGCGTTGAAATCCTGACATGTTGAGTTTTGCCGATCCACTGCCTTTGAATTTCTTGCGCGCTGTTATCACTCGTTCAACCGGGCAGAAGGGAACAGTTTCAAATCAAAACTTATCTTTATCTAATCTCAAAGATCTCGCCTGCGTATGGGAATCAAAAAACTACAGATTTGCTTTGTGTTTAGGGTATTTCGGAGGCCAAGCTGGAGGGACAGTACTTTTTCCGCACTCTGTAAAATGGACCCAATGTAGCCAAGGTTTGCTCTACGTAATGGTTATCAATGCTTTTTGAAAACATCAGGATAGAAATTGTTAGAATTGAGGAAAGATTTGGCGTCACTGCTGAGCTGCTCAAAAACCATGGCGATAACATTGCAAATACTGGGTAGATCAGAGCGCAAATATAGCTGTAAGAAAGAGGAAAAGATCTGAATTAAGGGGTATTTGAGTCGTCCATGGATTGGTGTTCTATGAGTTTAAGTGAGCGACGAGAAAAACGGACAAAACTTTCGGGACAACCTAATATTTAGCTTTCTGCAGGAGAAATCACGGTAAACGAGCCGGATAAAAAGGCAATTTTTGTTGAAGCAGTACCATTTTACAATTTTGCTGATTGCCATAATTTTGTTGATGTGTGATTTTTAGAATATCAAATACAAAAGGCGTTTTTCACGAAAATACTCGATTAAAAACAAAGTTTTGAAAGCGAGTGACGTTGTTTCTGGAATGAAAAGAGTTCAATTCTATCCCTCTCTCCCTCCATTCCTTAGCCATTCCTTAGAATAATAGGCAAAATGTTCGAAAGTAGCCCAAATGAATTATAAACTTGCGTAATGGGGCCATTTGATAATCAAAATAATTTCGAAACTCAACTAGAGCCTCTGAAAAAACGCATCTTATTTGAATTTTGGGTGTTGGGTTGCTCAACTTCAAAAAACGTCCTTTCCGTGTGCATCCCATGAAAATGTTCCTTATAAACCATCAATGTGGCTGACTTTCGAGACGTCAACTTCGATTAAGTGCCTTAAATTTGCTGAAAAACGTGTTAAAACGATCGAAAGGCAGCAACGTTGATGATTTCATATGGAAACAATTCTGAGACACGATACATCCTCGACAATTCTTTGTTGTTTTCCTAGATGATGAGCAAGCTATTGACAGCTCAGCTCGTTCATTTGTAGAGCTTATTCGCCTGCGATAAAGGCCAATCTTAAAGCTGATACTTCCCCTCCCCCCTCCCCGAGTGCGCTTCAAAGGTTTTCATGCATGTAGCACACGCGAAAAAAGCGCACAAGTGTGGCGCCAATGGAGACGCTGAATAGGCCGGTTGGCGCCGGGCCTGTCACTCGTGCGTGCTGTGTGCGGGGCGGGGGGGGGGGGGGGGGAGGGAGGAGGGGGGTCGCGGTGTGTGTGCCCACCCGGGTGTGTGTCGCCGGCGACACGGCGCCGTCCGGCGATCGGCGCCGAGACAGCACGGCGACGGTGGAGTGCGCGAGAGCGGCGCCGAGAGAGCGCGGCCCCGCAGCAGGCGGCAGACACGCGAGCGCGTCGCCGCGACGCGCTCGCCACGCCATCGTCGTCACCGCCGCCGACGAATTGATCGCTGTTGCGTTCTGTGGCTGACCTCCGGCTCGCCAAACCGCTACTTCTAAGGTGAGTCGGCTCGATTTTGTCCATTTATAGCCGTTTCGATGAAGCTTTTGGAATAGGTAGGCTTGCCAACGATTTGCGACTTACAGCTCATCCATTTGCGACTGTTTTGCTGGCTTTTTGCGAATTTGCTGCGAATCTGGCATTTTGTGCAGTCTATTTGCGCCGTGATCCGCTCTTTTTCCTTTTTTTCCAATCATAGTCAGAACCTCAATTACACCTCCTCTGCCCTCCCACCCCCCCCCCCCCACCTCGCCTACCCCCTTCTAATATTTTCTTTCTAGCCCGTATGGCTCAGTGGACTGACCCATCTCGTACATTTCTCATACAAGAAGTCCGAGGACGTCGCGTAAGTCTTAGATTCATTTCAAGGAATTTTTCAAAAATAATTCTTCAGAACGGATCAGATCTTTGCTTAAATCATATAAGCCCACAAAATCTCTATAATTACCAGCCTTTTTCAGGTCTTATGGGATAATACTATTAACGATACGAATATCAAAGCGGCTAAAGCGGCCGCATTCGCCGAAATCGCTAATGTGATGAACGAAGCGTTCCCGTCAAGCACGAAGTACACAGGTGAGAGAACGAGCGAGCGCGCCGGCACGGCGCCCCATAGCCCCCCCCCCCCTCTGCGAGATTGCCCCGTCTTCCTCTTCAGCCCCCATTTTCGCACACGCGCATTCGGCTGTCGACATTTTTTGCCCTTAACACAGATTATTTGGGTTACATTTGCACTTTTAGGGCTAAAAGCGCGCCTAGTTGCATTTGAATGGGAGCTAATAAAAATTTGAAGAGAAGCAAATTCTATCATTTTTTCTCCCCCCCCCCCCCTTTTTTTTGATCGCAACTATCTATCGATCATTGCTGTTCATCTTGTTGAGTCCTAGCTTCATGCTCCGGCCTTACCGCACTTTTTTAACTAAACACATCCTAATATTTTTTTGATTTTTTTCTAGCATTTGAACTACACTTTCGTAGTTTTTAAAGTGTATTACATTGTTCTCGAACCTTTCACTAAATTTTTACACAAATTATTATCATTTTTTCCTGCCTTTGACTTGATATAAGCACAACTTTTGGAAGCCAAAAAAATGAGAGGGCTCATCCTGTTTTCTGATTTGATATTTTTCAGAGCGCACCACTTTATTTTTATCTCTCTTGACCAAGTTTAGTTTCAACATAAAAACTCAGCTGAATTCTTATTTTGCTTCTCTTTGGCTGTCATCGAAAATGGGAAAACATAAAACGTGCGAAATTTAGATTTTATCATGCAAGACAAGGAAACTTGGCTTAGTCAAAGAAGCTGCTTTCACAATCATTTTCAAAGTGTGAGGAAAGTATAAGGATCAAAATATGTGAAGATATTGAAGTTCTAAGGTTCACTAAAAATTTTTTTCCGATTCCAGGATTTTTTACTGCAAACTCAATGGCAACGTTTTAAGTTGTCCCGATAGAACATTGTTATGTGCAGTGCTGTCTTCGAGAATTTTTAAGGAAAAAATAAAATGGAAGGGACTGTCTATTTTGCATTATGAGGAATTATTTTTGAACTAGTGAATTAGTAATCTAAAGGTACTGTTTGGAAGAGCGTTCGTTTCGGGACCCGCCGCGGTTTCCCGCTATTAGAAGATTTTTGAACTGAGCAAACGATTCTTTATATATTAGATTGATAGAAATAGAATTTTTGGCTGGGTGGTTGTAAAATAGCTGTTGGAGTCATATCTAGTGATTTGCACGTTTATTACCACTTCTGGAATTACTCTCAAGTTTATTGATTAATAAGAAAGTATTTGCTCTAAAATTTTTTTTACGAAATGAATGTTTTTTTGCGAACTTTTTCAAGTAAAGAAATGTTCTCTAAAGAATGACCAATATTTCAAAAGGTTCATCAAATTTTATTTTACTTCCACTTTTTTCGTTGTTTCATGATGTTTTTTTCTGTTTTCAAGTATGTTGGGCTATTTAAACTAATTTTTAAACTTGCATATATTTTGCTAATTGTAGGGAGAAGCTAGAATGTTTTGAATAAATTTCCTTTGCATTTTATTCCCTGTGGTCCTTATGACTAAACTGACTTAGATAGAGCCGCTGATTAGTGCTTTTAGGCCCATATTGCCTGCTTCTTACATCTTTTTCAAAATACTTTTTTTGATAAATTTTAGCTCCTTGTGTTGCGGTTACGAAATCTTTACGCTTTTAGTGTGCAGACATAATGTGCAGACACCTTTATTTTGCACTAATTTATGAAGCAAATTTTTTTTTGTTTTTTGCTTTAGTTATCCTTTGCACGTGTCTAACAACAAATATTTGATGAAAAATGAAATGTAAGTTCTTTGCAGCTGAAGATATTCGATCGCAATGGAAAAACCTCAAAGACACATTTGTTCGAAAATTACGATGGGTTTCCGAGGGAAAGTGAGTCATTTTTGATCCATTTTTTAACTGACTAAAATTTTGAAACTTATATTTTTTAGATACACAGACGACCCTTTAAAAGAACCTACATGGAAATTTTATCGAATGCTATCGTTTTTGGATGATAAAGGGTCGAAACGATTGTCAAATGATCATCCCATTTTTGACATTGCCGCTTTGCAACGGGATCATGGGTAAGTCTGCTTTTCGAGAGCTAATCGATAACTATATTTTACATATGCATTTTTAGTTTGGACCTTGTCAAGAACGAGCTACATCACATTCAATATAATGACAGCAATCAAAGCGCTGCATCAAGCGAAGAACAAATGCTGTCATTATTTGCACAGGTGGGAGATTACTGTAGGCATACTGTAGCACAACAGTATAACGCTAGTACGTTTTAGTCATATTCAAATACTGAAAAACCTCAAACACAGTTGGATTCACCTCCATCTCCTGCGTTACCGCCAGTATCGAACGCAGAAAGTGGGACGACGGATAATATAGTCTCAAAAAGTAATGCAGCTTATCCACAATCTATGGATGACGAAGAGGAGCCACGGAGGAAAAGGGTAGGTCATTAAAGTTTGACTTCCTTCCCCACATGAGTGATTACGTAGGCATACTGTACCAGCAGTTTTTTTTAGTTCAAAATTCTCTCCTTCTTTGCTCCATTTCTTACTTTCATATTGTATCAGCAGACTTTTTTTTATTTAAAATACTGCCCTCCTTTCTGTGTTTTGCATGCTTTCAAGATACTAGGATCTGGGCCCTTTTGCACACATATACCGTACTCCATCTCTTTTTCTTGCGAAAAGACTGGTTTTGCAGTTTTCCAACATTTTTAGAGTTTTCTTGCCTGCGACCCCTGACAAATCCGTATTCCATCTCATGCATTACGTTTACGGTAGCATATTGTAGCGGTACAAAAGGGTCGCTCGAGGTAATGTCGAGCTCCAGCAATGAACTTTACTTGAGCACAACACTTTTTCACTCAATCTCCAGATGCCACCTTTTATAGGCCCTTTTGCACATTACCGTAAGCTGCCTAAGAATCACGCAATTCTTATAAGAAGACTTTGCCAGATTCCGCGAAGCTTTTAAGTTCAAATATTGTCCACTTTACGTGGCCCAATGGGTACGGTAGCATACTGTGGCCGTACAAAAAGGTCTTGAAGAGATACTACATACTAGAGCAAATACTTCCTACTGATTACATCATTCAGTTTTTCATTTTGTGATCTAGTGGCGCTTCGTGCCCTTTTGTATATATTCGGTGTCTATATTCAAAGCCCCATGGTCCTTAATGTGAACAGTCTTTGAAATATTTTGCGACACTCTTGGAGTTTTTTCCCGCGCGACACTGCGTCGCGAAGAGTCTATTGGTAGTCCTCTCTTCTGGCCCGGTGGATTACGGTAGCATACTGTAGCGGTGCAAAAAGGCCGTTTAAAGTGTTTGATTTTTTCCTCGAAAAAAGTACATTTTCTTGCGGTTGAAGAAATTTTCAGGAGAATTTCGAAATAGTCAACCTAGATATATTACTTTCCCATTTCTGTTGTCATCTGCCGCCTTTGTCGCTCCTTGTCGCTTGTACTCGCCTCCAATGAGTTTATTTTTACAGCCGTACCATCGCCGTCATAATATCACCAACCAACAACAACAGGATGAATTCGAACTTTTTGGAGCCATAGTAGCTGCACAGTTACGCCGGTAAATTATTAATACTCTGGCTGTCTGTTTCAATATCAGGGACGCAGGATAATTTGACGAGATTGCAGGGTTTCGGACGAGTACTCACGCGCAGCCTCTTTACGACTACAAAAGAAGCTGAATGATGTGATATTTGAGTCACAAATGGAATTGCTTGAAAACGGGAACTAGTCGCTGTGGTTGATCTGTGAATCGATATGAATCGATATACATATTTTAGTTGAAAAGATCATCATTTTTTGAAAATTTTTATTCTGATCACAACAAATGTTGAATTGTTATGCATGCAAGAGTTAAGGTTTGTTCATATTGAGCAATTTTTTGTAAGGCTGAAAATGAAGATTTGAGAAAAAGACGCGTTTTGTTAGAGATGCAGTGGAGAATCTGAACAAATATGAAGAGTACCGTAAGCTTTTGAAGCAAAGCGAGGTCCTAACTAGAAAATACCCGAGATCAGTGATCATTTCGGCATGTCCCAATGGACGCTGTGAATCGATCAATATATTGATTAGAAGCGGAAATTGAGGAAATCAATAAATCAAACTATAAATGATAACTAATACATTGAAATAGCACGAATCGTTGTAAAGTGTTTGAGCTAGCAGTTGGTATAGTATATAACTCCGAAGTCCGGTGAACTCGTCCACCTCTATCTGTGCGAGTTGTCCGCTGTTTCAATGGGATCCATTGGAGTGTCTTCATTAGATTCAAAAACTGGGTTTTCTACGCCACCATCTGGTGTAACGATGTTCAGCGGATATCTTTCTTGGCCTCCAACCCAAGATGTGGAATTGATCATAGGCGTGGTCGCGATATAGAGTCTAGAGATACTGTAGCAATACGGTAGCCAGGCTTGACCATCGATCGATTATTGAACACCTACCGATTTTTATGGAAGAACAGCAGCACCAATGCGGAGGTGATCAACAAGGCAATGAAAAAGTTACGAACTGTTGCATAATCTGAAAAAAATCAGGGAGTACGAAATTCCAGCAAATGCAAAAAATCGATGTATTGATTTTTCCAAGATCATTTGCTAACCTATATCCCGTGTTTTTATCGATGCTTGAGCAAGATTTATACATATTCCATCGTCATAGCGCATACCATCACGACACAGACATTGATATCCTTCTGAAAATTTCAGCATTTTTGGCGAAAAATGGCGCGCGGGGGGGGGGGGGGGGGGGGAAGGAAGTCGACAGGGAGGAGGGGGCGGTGGAGATGGGGGGGGGGGGGGAGAGACGAGATGTTGTAGTAATGCGAGTTTGACTTTTCTTTTCTATACCTTTGACTGAAGATATGGAACCATATAGGGAATAGTTGCAAGGTTTTTTTTTCAAAGGTCACATGCTGGCCCCGCCCACAAATCCACGATTGCCAGTATCGCTCAACCAGCGCTCTGATTGGTCAAGCGCATGGAACTTACGTCTGGTAATCGTCGGAACACATATCTGTGTACATGTTTGATTATTCTCACAAGGGTTATCCCTGTTTTTCCGTGGCCATTTCTCTGGATGCACCACCTAAATAAAATCTAGTTATCCTATTGAAGAAGTTTGAAATGCAGTAACCCACCTGTATGCCTTTTACATGGGTAACTCCCGAAATCACAGTCGTTCTGTTCTTTCCCGTCAATTTGTGCATTTTTTCGACAGTTCCTTTTGTGAAATCCGAGAAGTAGAGGAAGTCGCCGAAGACATCAAGACCATAAAGGGCATTGCCGACTTTTCGTCCTAGGACCTGGCGATTGGCCCCGTCGTAATTGCAAACGCCTAAAAACGTCAATTTTTTGTTGGTTCAAAGGCCCCCATCTCACTCTACCTACCCAAGTAATTCAGGCCCTGGTCGATCCAGAAGAGCCTCTTCGAATATGGATCCACTGCTAGAGCGATAGGCCGTATTAGTGATGTGTCCAGCACAATATCCAAGCCTCGGTCGTCGTTGATAAGCGACATTCGATTCAAGCTTGGCTTTTTGCCAATATCGCTCCAGAAGATGGTTCTGCATGGAAAAGAGATACTATAGCCACCTCATGGTCAAGAATGGCGAACAAACCTATGAGCACTATCAATCGCCAAAGCATAAGGGAGAACACCCGGACCTCGACGGTAGACGGTTTTTGTGTAAAGATTCTCACTATCCGACATCTGTAAAAAGTTTTCTCGGGTGATTATCAAAGGGGGGGGGGGGGTATCTCAACTTACCATGATAGCGTTACGTGATTTTGACGTCCAGTAGATGTTTCCGGAGAACTCGTCCACCGCTAGACCATCTGGGTCGTACATAGATGAAGCAAGAAACTGCAAAAGTTCATAAATTTTAGATTCAGACAATTTTTGTTACCGTATAAAAAACATTTTCGAGAAAGAGGCCATCTCATGTATCTAGATAATGATTTCTATTCGAAAAACAAGTATTTTGGGACTTTTGAGTAAGATGTAACTCGCGCTATAACAGGCGACCGCTGGCGACACTCGCGACAATGAGCGGCAGTCCGCGACAGCTAGCGATAATTCGCGACAGTAAGCGACAGCTGAGGATTTTTGTACAACAAACCACAGTGGTTCCATTGGTGAATGTTCGCCCCACCACTTCTTTGTCATCAATCCAGTAGACAGACGACGACCTATAGCGACTCAGAATTACGAAAAACTGTACTTTCGAAAGTTCGCAACTGACCTTGAGCTATAGGCAAGCACTCGTCCAGATGTACTACTTATTGGCAGTGTTTGATAGGAATTCCGCAGTGAACTCATACGTAAGCCTTCACTTGCGATAGATATCAAAGTTGGAGAAATGACTAAAATTTTTCTGTTAGAAGAGCTAGGGAAAAGTGTTGGGCGGGGGACGGAAAAACCTACGGCTTGATTTTAGTTTGCATCCATGCTTATCAGCTTCAAGCATGAAACCACTTCCACATGCACATTCATAATGACCATTTCCTTTCTCCAAACAGAATTGAGAGCAGTTTGATGACGAACACTGATCACCCACTAAAAAATCAATATGTCGATTGTCGGCCATTGTGCATTGTAAAGTGTAGACCAACTTATGCATCTGGCCGGATTTTTAGGGTCCACAATTTTTGGCGGTCGACATTCACACCGATAAGCGAATGGCAAATCTATGCAGTGTTCCTCGCAAAGGTCGAATTTGCACTCGTTCACACCGCACATAGTTTCCGCAAAGTACCGTAAGCTGAAAGCAATAAAAAACCATTTAATTGAATGAAAAATTCATAATTTCACTAATCTATTTAAGGGCTGAAAAACGACCAATCAGTGCGCTCTGATGTAGGTCAACCCATTACCAGCCACCCCCGTAAACACGTTCTCAACAAGTAAGACCACATCTCACAGTCTGAAGAAACTGACCAATCACGGTGCCGCCATGTGATTGGTCAAACCATTGCCAACCAAACCCACAGACATATTTTGACCCTCAGGACACTTCTCACCACTCTTAGGAATTGACTCACCACTCTTAGGAATTGACCAATTACGATGCCGCATGATTGGTCAGTTGGTCAACCCATTGCCAATCACGCCCACAAACAGATTCTAACAAGACTTGTGATAATCGGAATCGACCAATCACACCGCTCTCACTCTCACGTGATTGGTCAGTCCATTACCGAACCACACCCATGAATAGGTTTTGAACAAGTTAAACTCACTTTTCACAGTTATGACTATGATTACATATGATTTCTTGTGATATACACGTGGTTTTCTCTCCTTTCATACATGCAACTTCATCTGGAGCGCATTCAGAAGATCTAGCAGAGCACATCTGAAAACCGTCAGTTATCAAAATCGATTTATCGATTGATTATGACGTCACGCGCGAACCCACCTGCTTATCCTCATCGCTTTCATCTGTGCAATCAGGTAGTCCGTTGCAGATCCAGCCTTTTGGTACACACTGTCCACTACGACATCGGAAAAAATCTTCGTCACAGCGTTCCGCTTTACCTGGGTTGACCAATAAGACTAGTAATTGGTCATTTCCAACCAATTACAGCTCACTATTCAACTCACTGCATTCTGTGCGATTTTCATCACTACCGCTAGCGCAGTCGGTGAAACCGTCACATTGGTGGACTTTACTAAGACAGATGTGGTGATTTGTACCAGGTGCGCGACAGAGAAACTCGTCCAACGCGCATTTGGTGAAAATGCCTGGATGTAGAGGATATAAAGAGTAGTAAAACCGTTGGTATAAAGAAAATAAGGTCAAACATAATAATGTTTGTCAACGTCTAGGAGCAAGCGACAGCAAGCGACACCGAGTGACATTAAGCGACATCAAGCGATTCTACCACCGACCTGTACAATTCGCCTCATCGCTGCTCACACCACCCGGACCACCATCAGAACAATCGTCTGCACCATCACAAGTCCATTCTGCGCTTATACATCGTCCATTACGACATCGGAACGATGCAACATCGCAATCGCTAAACCAATCAATACGCATGTTTCGTGCAGCGCAACGCGAGAGATGAAGTGTAAAAGTACTTACTCGTGCAAGAGAGTATCACAATCTACTTCATCGTCTCCGTCGGGGCAGTCCTTTACACCATCGCATTTTTTGTCTACATGTATACAGTCACCAGATCGGCAAGCGAAATCTAGCCCAGTACGGCAGGAGTTCACTGAAAATGACATCATATTCTGAAAGCAAAGAGTGTGCGTAAAATAATGGTTTTTATTGATTTCAGGTCGAGCGGTGATGGACGACAACAGGCGACAGTAAGCGACATCAGGCGATAATGACTGGCAACTTACCACAGTCCATTTCATCGCTACCATCCGCGCAATCTTTTTGTCCATCACAAACCCAACCACGTGGTAAGCATGATCTTGTGCGACCACATGTAAACTCGTCCGACGTGCAAGGGCGCAGTCCAGGAAGAATGGGTAGCACAATCTCTGCAAAACATATGAATATTGGGCTAAGAGTGTAAAAGTGGAGCCAATACCATCGCAATCCTTCTCGTCCGAGTTATCCCAGCAATCATTCGAGCCATCGCATTTCCACTGAGGAAGAATGCATTGTGTCGTACCTTCACAATTGATCAAACCGGGCATGTCAAATTCAGTGGCGTTTGAGCAATCGCGAGGTGCTGAAGGGTCCCAATGAGAAAAGAAAAGAAAACACAGATATTATGACTCACGGCAGTTTTTCTCATCGCTAGCATCATTACAGTCAGGTTTGAGATCACATCTGAGGTTGCTGGCTATGCAGATTCCAGACTCGCACCTGAACTTTTACGGTTACTGTCATTATCCAAGATTTTCTGGTGCAATTACGTACCTGAACTCATTTTCGTTGCACTCGCAGTCAACTTCATCGGCGAAATTCAAACAATCATTGTTCCGATCACACTTTTTCGATTGTGCTATGCATAAGCCACTCCCACAATCGAAGTATCCTGGTCGGCAGGTGCGCTGACCTAAATTGCCAATTATAACATTCACTAAACATGGTAGCCACTGCAAACTACCATAATCGACTAGGGACTTCTCTCTCTCTCTCTCTCTCTCTCTCTCTCTCTCAACCCTTTTCTCCTGTCTTTTCCTTTTTGAAAGATAAAACACCCTTGCGAATTCGAGGACTGAAGTACTGTAACTGTACAAAAGCTCTAACAGGGCGCGCCAAGAAGAATACAAAACTACCACTTGCTGAAAAACGGTTAAGGACGTTTGACTGCAGGAGGTTCTAAACGCGGACATCTGTTACAGATCATGCATCTTAACACACTACAGTTCGTAGCAGGTGACCCAAATGAGAAATAAGAATCGCTGACTCAAAGTAATCTACCGCTAGAGCCAAGGTTTGGAAGACAGAGATGCCGAAAAATTGGGGGTGAAAGAGTCACAGAGCGAAGAAGGTGCCCTCCTGAATTTGTCATTAATTTTTTTTACTTAGAGCATTTTATGAAACTGATGGAAACAGAATTCCATAAAAAGGGAAATTGAGAAATCCAGGGTTTTTTCATGCGCTGATACTGTAACTATTTTTCGTGATCTTACTTTCATAGAAAATACTACGGTCCATTTGATATGTGGGGGGGGGGGGGCAAAGCAACCTTTCTTATACTCAGTAGGTCCCCTCGCAAAATCCCCAACTTACTACACATATCGACATCCTCATCCTCTGCATGTGGACAATCTGGATATCTATCACAAGTCTCCTCATATGGGATGCATTTCTCGTCCAGTTTGCAGAGGAACTCATTCTCGGCGCAGCTTTTTGTCGCGAATTCTGAACAAAAGAATCTCCATCCAATCGATAAGCATCATTTTCATAGGAAAGTCTACCGTTTCCAATGCACGTCATATTATCCGCCTGAAGCTTGCGCTCACCACGGCAAGCACAATGTGGCTCTCCGCGAGCTGTAAGGCGACATTCATCGCTGCATTTGAGTGATGAGCACAGATCAAATCCGCCTGAAAATCAATAAAATGTAAACTGATCAATTATCGATTTTCTGAGATGTCAAAAACCTACATTTCTTGATGTCCTTAGCTGATACGGCTATACTCTGCACTGGGGTCGGCGTGTCGGCAATAACTCGTTCACCTAGCCCGTCAATCTTATCTGCTATGGAAAGCTCACTGAAAGACTTGTCATACGATAGGTGTAGTGGATAAACGATAGCTTAACATACAGTGTTGAGACGTAGGAGCCGATATTGCCATAGATGAGCCAGTCATTGTATAAAGCCAGGGCGAAAGGTCGGCGAGTGTTAGTTGTCCGATTTAGGGCGCCGGGTACCACAAGCTGAAATGGGGTAAACTCAAATTTCTCTAAATTCTGGGAAAAATATTGATTACCTCCTTATTTTTTCCATCAAAGTCCATTCTGTAGATTTTCGCAGAAGTGATTTCAGCAAAGTATAATTTCTCTGCCGAAAAATCAATCGAAATTCGAGATTCACCGATGATCTCGTCTTCGACTATACGCTCCTAAACAAATCAATGTGGCTTGCAGGACAACTGACAAAAATTTCGTCTTACCCTTTTATAGCCGCTATAGTACATCCTTTCAATTGATGGGACTGTCCCAGAGTTGGTGAAGAAAATTAGCCTAAAGGGGAAAAGATCATCTCATTGGCAAGAAACAAATGGTCCACCCACATTCGGCAAGGATGTACAGCGATATCCCTAGGCTTATTGCCTTGGCCCAGGAAAGCGACCCGAGTGGGAATAACGGGGTAGCTGGCTGGGTCGTCAGCGGACATGCTAAGTCTCCAGATTGATGGTGGAGTGGATCGAGTGTAGTAGAGCTCACGATTTGTTGCATCCAAAGAGATTCCTTCGACTTCGCCAACCTCTGTAAAAATTGAAATTAAGCACAAATGAAGCGAAACAGGCGACAATGAGCGGAAGCGAACAATGGGTGGCTCAAAGCCAAAGCGAGCGACAACGAGCGACGGTGGGCGACAAAGGGCGACAAAGGGCGACAACTGGCGGAGATAAGCGACAGTAGGCGACAAACGGTCTAATTTGCTTACCATCGGCAACAGAATACCAGTCGTTGTTTGTAAATCTGTAAACAATTATACGATTTGACGATCGATCCACCAAGATTAGCTGATTACGATCTGCATCCGACTCCACAGCTGTGATTCCCCTGAAAATCGATCAGTTCACATAAAATGAATTAACAGAGCTTCCAATTTTTATACCTGGGTATGTCCGGGTATCTCAGCGTTTTTCGTGGTACGGTAGTGTTCGGCGATACACTGACAAAATCGATAATGCCACCGTAGGAATACGATATGAAGGATGGATTGGCTGGAAGATACAGTAAACATGAAGTACTCCTGAGAGCCCAACTTTGGCTTGATGTTGTGCACTTACAGACACAGGATCCATTCGGTTGTAGCAGAGCATAAGCGCATAAGCAATGAGGTTTACCATTAGGGTTGGAAACACAAAGGTGTTCACAGCCGCCGTTGTTTTGCGTGCATGCGCTTGGGACGAGATCTGCAACATAAGCGAACTCGTCCAGAGCCGTACAACTGGCACAAATTCAAGTTGGACGGTACCTTTTGGGGCTTTCTTGTAAAGGGAAGTAGCTCGGAATCTCAATGTTGTTGTAGTGTTGTACGAGTTAAGCTGGGTGAAGTTACCGCCAGCTTCTCGTTTATACTCCGTCACTAGTAGAAGATTTGAGGTGGAGACCTTTCTGGAAAAAGAGCTTCATACGCAAAAGTGGCTCTTACACTGAAGTCAACATTTTTTTCCTACGTATAAACTCTTTACGCACCTCTGCACAAGATAAAGTTTTTCCTTGCCAATCATCATTTCCGATTGCACTGCATCTACCACAGGGAAGGTTGCCACAATCTAAAAAATCAGTCTAAACCCCTCAAAAATGATTTTTTAGGAAATGGCTACCTGATTATTGGACCCGTCATAGTCTACACAATGTATGTCACCAGATTCTTCGAGGTAGCATAATTGTGACTTCAATGTGTCGAGCACAAATTGATATGTAGTGACATTCACTATGCAAGATATGTTTGTTCCATCATAATTAGCTCGTTTGATACAACCTCGTGACCAGAAAATGTACCTGAAATAACAGTTATTAAAATTGAGGAAGTTGGTACTATACTAGAGTCACATAAGAAAAGTGATGATTGCAGGATTTTACAAGCAACAAGGAGCGATGATGAGCGATAATGGGCCACAGCGAGCGACAATGAGCGACAGTGGGCGTGGAGCGACAACATTCATTTACTGCACTTTTGGGATTGCTGTAGGACAAAATGGTGTAAATGCAGAGAAGCATACTCATTGCTATTAAAAAGCGAGAACAAGCGACATAGAGACAATTGTTCCAATATGGGAACTTTTTGCGGGGTAAGGGGGGGGGGGACAGAAGGCGCTGCATTTAATTTAGATGAGGGACGTCGCGCGAGCCACTTGAAAATAGTTTTCCTAAAGCTCTCATATCTTCGAAGCTTGTAGTAATTTAGAAAAAGGACGTGACTTTGGAGCGCTGGAAAATTCTACGTATCCAAACTTGTTTTCGAATTAGATTGCTTCAATCATAAGAAAAAGGAAGTATACTTGCTTAAGCTCTCCATCACTCTAAAGAAACTTACCCTTTCATAGGATCCACTTCCAAATGTCTGACAGCGCCCTGTTCGTCCACCAAAAGACGAACTCTGATGTTGTCGTTGATGCGTTTAGGATCCACAATAATGATTTCTCCTATTCGTCTGCCAACTTCAGCGGCAACAAGTACGTCTCCTTAAGTGCTTGGGTAATCGTAGTCTTAGGCATTGGATGTCCTTTGATTCAATCGGACTGGCGCCTGCAAGGCGGGATTTTGTGACCTAATTAAGGCCGCTCGCGCCCGCGATCGGTCTGCGTCACTCTCGCGCGCGTGCTCTTTGGTTTCTCTAGCCTAACTAGCACATGAAGCCCCGCCTTCCGACCGCCAAGTCAGTTGAATCAAAAGTATGTAAAGTATACCTGTATTCTGATCTACCGTAACCGCCGTGAGGGTATCGTCGCTATTGAGTAGGCGATCGGTATAGGAGCCGTTCAAGTGAGTAACCCAAAGTTCAAACTCCGACATGAGGTAGACCTAAGGTAAGTGATTGAGCATGAATGGGTAAAGGTGGGCAGTATCCTGGTAGATATGGGTAACTAGGCTTTTTATGCGAGCTCTGATAGCAAAGTCTCCTAACCAAGTCATGGAAACGACAGCCCATGCGATTCATTCGTGCCCAAGCGAAGTCTTCGCATTCGATCGTTCCCTTTCCGACAAACCAATCACTGTCCTTAATACGGTACGCTCGAAAAGAGTACGGTTTAGGCGAGAGTTTAAAACCAAATTTCTTTTCCACAAATGGATCGCATGAGCTCCCGCTTGGACAGGGGCTTGTTAAGACTTCTCAAAACCGCATAGCAGGTCCGGATATCCAGCATCCGAGCACTGGTAAGATAGGAGATGTTAATAGGACATACCAATTCATTTTTATAGTCAACGGCTATTTTCCTCCAGGGTTTGTAGGCCACAGCTGGATGGAACAGGAAAACTGAGGTGCTACCGTTGGCAGTAGGAAGAAGCTTGTCGCCAGCAATGAGAAGGATCTCGGAAGAAACTGCAAATCAATAAATCAATAAACAAGTGGATAAGCTTGTAAATTTACCTTTGCATTGTCCTCCTTCCATAATATAACCTTGCGGACATAGGCACTCATAACTATCCTTTGCTGACCTTACACATAAGTGCTTGCATGACTTCAACCCGCACTAAACATAATTATTGATTGCGGTTCAGTTACCCAAGTTTAGTCTCACCTTAGGCACCGCAGTTCTATCCATAATAGTCGCTACACGGAACGGTTCTCTGGTCGTAAGCGTTGTCATATTTGTGCTGCTACTCCTAAATTCGTGCAAAATCAGTATATCGATCGGGAAAAATCTGCGCGAGACCTACCATATGTTAGTCGATACCGATCGATAAGTCTTCTTTACCAATACATTATCGACTACTAATAGGATATTACCAGTCCATGGGTCTACAGTCAATGCGTCTATACTGCTGCCATTGGCGTAGACATAAGGGGTTACCTGGAGAAACATAAAAGTTTAAAATAAGACGTGGCCGAGGGCGGAGTCTAATATTGATTGTAATAAGCATACCTTCCATGTTTTCAAACTCATTTGAACAACTGTTGATTTTTGTGACATCACCCACAATACACGATTTCCTTGCTTATCGTATACCATATTAGTAATTCCATCAAGAAGACCATTTACCGTATCTGAAAATATGGAAATCTACAAGCTGGTGTAAATTGCAAGCTCCGCCCACCTAAGGGAATTTCTGCTAGTTTGCTTCCATCTCCTTTGGCGCTGAAGAACTTTGGTGGAGTATAGCCAACATCTAACCAAAGTAATGAGCTAAATAGCTTGGTAGTAGCGATAAAGGATTATTAATTGATTTTCGAACTTACGCTGAGTTGTCTAAAAATAGCAAATATTTTGGTCTTTTTAGCTCTTTATTGCTTGACGACTCCAGTATCGAACGACGAATGCCACTGTTTGAGACAAAAATCGCTGCTCGATTTTCAGAAGCACTTGTGTAGTAGACGGCTCCGGTCACTCTGTCAACTGCTATACCATAGCAGTCCGACAGGTCTGGAAAAGTGACAGTTGTCCCAGCTCATGAGCGATAATCAATGAATTAACCTCCAGTTAGTACTGTGCGCTTCTCTTTATCGACAGTGTCATACTTCCAAAGAATATCATCAAAAGCATCGTACATGAAGACTTTCTCGTCAGTGGCAGCAAGGGAGCGGATGTCTGGAAATTTCAAAAAATTCTAATGATTTTAAATGTTAGGAGGAGAAAAAAACGAAGTATATAATGGAAAAAAGAGGATGCAATCATAGAAAATAGGCTGTCGGTTCAAATTGAGACGAAATGGTTAAGGGGGAGGGGGAGGGGCGAGGGGAGAGAGGAAGGGTATGGTAAGGTAGAAGAGTGAGCTCCTCTTTGAATACTGTTTTTAAAAAATTCAAAATGGTCCTCAATTTGCCCGCAGCAGAAGTTCACACAAGTGGGCGTGGCGAGAGACACCCTCAACAAATTTGCACAAATACAAAACAACCGCTGTGCTATTTTATAAGTCTTGTAAAAGGGGGGGGGGAAAGCGGGATAAATCCACTTACCTTGAAATCCAGCAGCGTTGAAAATCGTTTCACCTGATCCCACATCGATGCCAGTTATAGAATTTCTTGTGGATGAAAGCACAGCTAACTTCACCTCTGCATCACAATAAATCGATAATCGATTTGATAATATCGTATGAGTCACCAAGACCCTCACCTTCACATTTGGATGTACTACCGTTGCTAAATCTTCTAAATTGCGAGCACATGCAGGAATATGTGCCGGGACCATTAATCAAGCACAAATCTGAGCAATTGCTTTTGTCACAGGGGTTCCGCAGAATTCTAAATTAATAGTTACGGTACTGTTATACGGTAGAAGCATGTATCGTATCGGACCTAGGTTGTTTGCTACGATGTACAACTTTCACATAGAATGGACGCATAGGAGTATGGAATATAGCTGCGATAGACGAACCATTCCATTTGTTTGCCTAAATCGTGCTTCTAGGTACCTGCACTAATTTTCACTCATGCGAGAACTGGTCCCCGAAAGGGGTTTTCCATGATTCCCGTGAAAAATATTGTTTTTTTTGGTTGGGAAAAAATATCAAAAATTATTGCAAGCCTGAAATATGTCAAGATATTAGGTTGTTGCAAAAATAATGTCCGTTTTGCAAATTTTTACTTTGGAAGGCTATGACTTCGTTCAGTCTTCATATGTTTGAATGCGGTCAAAACCATCAGAAACAGCAAACCTTTCGTAATTTAGCGCGCACCTGCTCCTACTGATATCGCAAACGGGAAGGAAGCCATGCGTCAAAAAAGTGGAAGTTTTTCTTTTGAAAACGTCTTCTTTGAGAGCTTACAACTTCCTTCAAGTTTTGTTCATATGGTTGGCAATCAGCTTATTCAGTAGCCGCAGGCCACGAGTTTACGTATGTATAGAAAAGAGGTCAAAGAAGGAGTTGTGCGAAAAGAAAAGATAAAAATTCAAAAATGTTCACTTTTTTGAGCCTATTTCTTGTAGGCTTGTGAGTGCCAAATTATGAAAATTTAGAATTCTTCACGCACTGAATAGCTAAGTTTTTCTTCAGATATTGTAGTTAAGGTATGCTTATCTCAAGCTTACAGAAATGGGCGAAGCTTCGGCGATTGCCTTAATTATGAGAAATTTCTGACCCATAGAATGCCAGCAGCGATTATCTATTTCGAGGCGTCAATTTCTCAGTCCAGATATCTCCAAAAATCTAGATGAGCATGCAGTAGGTAAACAATCTTCATATAATACAGTTGCTATGTTTTCAGAAAAACTCGTTTATTTGCTCCTGAATTGTGGTCAAGAAACTGAAAGCTATGAGATTTCGATTCTGAGTGCGGATGTGCAAAATACTGGTGAAGTTCTCAAAGATGAGGATAGCAGCTTATTTCCACCACCGTTAGAAAGTACATGAAGAGAGCTTTCCAATGATATGCAGATTCCATATCGCAATAGGAAGTTTGACGGAAAAAAGTTGTTTGGAATATAGGCCTAGAAAAACGGACATTATTTCTGCAACAACCTAATAATAAGGCACTGACAATGGATGGAATATTTGTACTTTTATATTTCCGGAGACTTTTATCCTGTACCCTAAGTTGTACACAGTTGCGAAAAAAGTCGCAAAGGATGAATAGTCAAACCAACAACTCTTCAATTGGGGACCAGTTTTCGTCCACCATCCATCGGGACAAGTTTCACGTTTGGGCAACAGTTTTCATCCAGCAAATATTATTTGAGTTCTAATTTGTGGACCAATTTTTCGTTTTTTCTCGGTCAAAATAACAAATTATTAGGCAACTTACCCTCACAATCGCATTAATCCTCCAATCTGTCCAATACACATGGTTTTCGAACAAATCCACAGAGAAGGGATGTGTGGAAAAGACATGGTCCCTTAGCACTTCAACGTGTCCGCCACCATCGTAGGCTACGGTATGTACCGTATCGGACCTCAAACGGGCGAGAGATTATGTCGACAGGGGAAGGCCTTGAGGGCAAAAGGACGAACTTGGCATCCACCCAATAAATCCTCTTCGCTATGATATCGCATGCTAGACCATTTGGCCATCCGGCATTCACAATCGAAGATACCTAAGATGAATGTATTGTGGAAAGATCGATTATTGATTGATTACAACGAACCTTGTAGATGACAGTCCTATTCTTTCCAGCCATAGTGGCGCGTTCTAAGCGTGGATTTTCTTCTTGCCAATCACTCCAGAACATCAGGCCGTGGCTAAATATAGAATTATCGCAGCTTTAGTGCTTAGAACAATTCTAATATAGTCGGTATATGAAAATCAGAATCCCACAATATTCCATGTTTATTTAAAGAAATGAAGATGTTGAAGCGAGAACTGGTCCCCAAAATGTGCTTGAGTGTAGTTAAAATGGGTTGGGTTATATATTGAGTTTTGTAAACGTTTTCACCATGATTAACGCGAAAATGGTTGAGGGACCAGTTTTCGCATAGATTGGTTAATCATTCATAGCCGAAACAGTATGTATAAAATCAACGGGTTTGACATAAACAAAATATAGGCAAATAAGATAGCATATAATTGGAACGACAACTGGTCCCCACAGCGAGAAGTTAGGTAGAGGGTACACAAATTGGGCTCGTAAAGCAAGCGCACAAACGGTTCAGGGACCAGTTTTCTCACAATAAATTGCCCTATCCAGCGCCAAAAAGCAATAAATGTGGAGGAAATTGAGTTCAAAATGAAAAAAAAAAACAATTGAGGCAGTACAAATGTGAAAATTTTAGGAGAAACCAAGAAAAAAAACCTTGCCTCGGATCCACAACAATATCTCTTGGATTGTGAATTTCGCCTTTCACTACCGTAGCTCTCATAGATCCATCAGTTTTTGCGGCCTGCAGAAAGCATCAGTAGAAAGTTCTTAATTTTTTCTCCCCCCCCCCCCGCCTCCCTCAAGCAACCCACCTGAATATGGTCATGGTGGCTATCGGTCCAGTAGATGACGTCATTGATCCAGTCTACAGCTATACCTTCTACGGTTGACAATCCAGTAGAAATTATGGCACAAGGATTGGACGCAGCTAAAAATCTCGTTTTCAGAGGCTCTCCCGGCATATGTTTAGTTACCCACTTTTGCCATTGACTTCCACTCGAAATATCGTATCCAGTGTGACGTCAGCCCAGAAAATCGATATTGTACCATTTACCTGGTACAAATAATCGAATGAAACTGCGTTTTCCAATTGTGGCAGAAGTGGAACTGCATGTGGTGCATCGGATGGGAGGTACATGAGAGTATGACGGTCACTATAGAGTAAGAATGGACGTCGTGAATCGATAGCTCGACAGGTGAACCTGGAAAGGACTGTAGCATTACTGTAGGACTGCTCATGAGAAAATATCAACGTTGAGAAGTTTCAATTTGGTGGTGCCCTGAGTGTCAAGAATTTCTGGATGGAAAGTTTCTACATGGATTGAAAAATTGTGCAGGTATCTTGTGGTGATTTTAGACAAATAGGTAACTTTTTATTTTCATTTTTTCTTTTTATTTCTATTCTTTGAAAAGCTCAAAATGCCCCTTTCCAAATTTTGGGGCTATAAGGTTTGCAATGCATTTCAAAAATTTTCGGGAGGTGGATAACGCCACCCTCTTCATTCGAAAAAACTCCTTGTTCCCCAATTCCGTCCTCGCCCCCTTCCGCACACCAAAAAATTGGACTACCGCTGTCATGTTACAGTTGTACTGGATTATGAACAAATTAACAAAGGAATTTCAAACTTTCTAAATTTTTTCGATTTGCATCTATTGGCCAGCTTGACTCCGCCCACTGCCACGCCCATTTTTGGCTTTCCAGACACAGATTAATTTGAGTTCTACAACTTACCCATCTGATAACATCTGATACCCTTGCTCGCAAAAACAATGTGAAGTCCTATTCGAATGCACTACACAGTGCTGTGAACACGCGCCAAAATCGCATGGGCGTCTTTCTGTCGCTGGAATATAAACGAAGTATAAACGGAATTAGCGCATTCACTCAAAAACGGCAATTATCTTACCTTCACATGTTCTGCCATCCTCATTCAGCGTTTTATTTGCAGTACAGCCACATACAGTAGAATAAGTACCGTCATGCGGTTGTACATAGCAAGCCTCCTGACACTCCATTTCCATACAGGACCTTCAAGTGCACCCATGATAGTACACGGACCTAGTGTGTATAATGCATACTCACTGTTGTTGTTCGTAACCGCAAAACTCCTCGTCTTTTGCATCGAAACAATCCGGTACTCCATCACAGATCTGCAAACGTGCTCTGATCAACGTCGCTCGCTCCACTTAAAAAGTACAGCCTACCTTGGCAGCAGGTAAACATACGATTCCCGTGAAGGTTCTACATGTGATGTCGGGTGCTCTACATCTTGCTTGAACTATCTTAGCATCGAATGCTGGAATGAGAAGATCAATAAATCGATAGCCATCATGGGCAATCGATTATCGATTTTTGGTTTCTGGAATGGTTGCTATCCTTTTAGCAGCAAAAGAAAACGGTTTCAAAGTGTATCAATAAAAAGACCAATAAACTATTAATTGATATTTTCCAACAAATGTGGTTTCTACACTTAACCATGGTGAAACATGCAAAGGATATTGAGCGACAACCGGCGACAATTAGCGACAACTAGCGACGTTAGGCGATCTGATCAACATGTTGACAAACTTACAGCAATGTTCATGTTCGTCGCTACCGTCCGTACAATCCGTCACTCCATCGCATTCCAAATGTCCTGCCACGCATTCATCGCCACTTCGGCATGCGAAAAGACCCACAGCACAGGCTTTGCCCTCTAAGATCAGAAACTTGTTTTCAGGAGCGTTGTCAAGCGAAAATGCAATACTCACTGCATTTTCTCTCATCTTGTCCATCTGAGCAATCTTCAATCCCATCGCAAACCGCACTGCGTCGGATACAACGTTGCTCACGTTTACATAGATATTCATTGAGTTTTCTGCAATATCGCGTAGAACCTAGAAAAATCAATAATCAATTGGTCGTTTCAAGATCGCAGGATGACGATCAGCTTACTGATATTAGCGCAGTTCCTTTCGTCTATGCCGTTCTCGCAATCGACAATTCCGTCACACATCACCGAGATGTCTATACAAGCTGATGAAGCATCGCAACGGAATTCTCGTCCGGTACGACAGCCCTAAAAAGCACCAATTTTTAAAGCAAAAACATCTAAGCTCCGCCCACCTCATGACAATGCATCTCATCCGATCCATCGCGACAATTTGCTCGCCCATCGCATACCCAGTGCAGTGGTATGCACTGCCCGGTAAGACACTGGAACTCGTCCACACTGCAATCGCGGGCCTCTGAAAACCAAAAAATCATCTATCAATAAATCAAGGGGTAAGAGTGGTGGTTACCACAATTTTTCTCATCAGACCGATCTGGGCAGTCAACTCGTCCGTCGCATCTCCAGCTATCCGGTAGGCATTGTTTTGTGACCGCACAAGGAAAAGTGCCATTCGCGCAGTTTTGTACGTGATCTAGAAAAAAAAATTTATTGGTTTTATCGATTTTTGTCGGAAGATGAAAGCGAAAAACTGTTTGCGCGAAATTGCTCTTTGGCCGAGGTAGCGACAGTGAGCGAGTTGAAGCGAGCGACAAAGTTGAACGAATATGAGAAATGTAGCAAAACTTAGCTCAATGCAAAAACAAACCATTAAAAATTCACTTTTTATAAAACAATTAATTAGCTCCGCCCACCTCTGCATACAGTCCATTTCTCATCACTCCTATCTTCACAATCTGCTCTACCGTCACAAACCAGATATTCCGGTATACAGGTCATCGAATCACATCTGAACTCTCCTTGTCCACAAGTGAAATTTCCAGCTAGAACAAAGGGTATCAGTAAACAAAAATCAATAATCGATTGGTTCTTACCGCATACTCCTCTGATATCCTCATCACTGCCATCGTAACAATCCCAATTTCCATCGCACAGCTTTTCTTTGGAAATACAATTTTCAGTATGAGTGCACATAAATTGAGTTTTCTCATCGCATTTCGTTCCTTCACCGGCTTGAATCGCTGGAAGTGATTAAAATCCGGATAAATCAATCAATAATCAATAGCTTTCAATTACACTAAAAGGATGCTTTCGTCTGAATCTGCGACAAGTTAAGGAATAGTTTAAGCAAAGAAAGCAGTAAATATGCTAAATCCGCGTCTTCTGCCGCAGAATAGCGGATTTGTAAGGAAGGTAAGCTAAGCGACAAGGCGCGACAACAGGCGACTTGAAACGACAATGAGCGATATGGAGCGAGATTAAGCGACATGAGCGACTATGGGCGACGTAGGGAGACTACAAGCACAATAAATGATATTGGCAGAGACTTACCCAAACACCTTTCCGGGTCATTCTTGTCCACTATAAATCCATCGGCGCAGCCACATTTTCGCGCTTCAACGCTACAATTTTTTGCGCTAATGCATGTTTCCGGGTAGCACAACTGCTCACATCCACCATAGTTTTCAAGGCACTTTGAAGGAGCTAAAATTGCTCTGATTTCGTACGAATAAGGGAGAAGAAGGAGAGGAGGGGAAGGGGGAAAAACTTACGGGTTGTTGTATTCGCTAATAAATATAGCTGAGATGTGATTGGTAGAGAATCGATTGGGACTATGTCATAGTCATCTTCACTCTTGGGAGTTGCACGCTTGACACCATTATTCTGTAATTTTTATTTTTCATTTTTTAAGTACGGGCGAAAAGCAATGAAAAATACCCACGTCAGCCCAAATGATTTGTCCAGAAAATGCAGCAAATGAGTGCAGAGAACGAATGGAGATTGGAAGTTTCTGAAAATTTGACTTTCAAAACTCCCGCCAAATTCTGCAATCAATAATGAATTGATATCTACCTGTGCATCACCTCCATCATAATCAATCCTGTACAAAGAGTACTGGAATGGATCCAGCCAGTAAACTCTACGTGCAGCCACATCTACTGTCATCATCAAAGGATTGAAGGAGAAGAAACTGACGAGAATCTGAATTAGGAATTTGTAACAGTTGTCCGAGGCTGGGTCACGTGGGAGGGCTTACTGTAGGTTCAAAAGAGTTTCCTCCTAATCGTGCTCTTACTATGTTATGCTGTCGAAGTTGTGTGGTGCTCGAGTAGAAGAGGTACCTAAAATAATTACGGTTTGTCTTGTTCGCCTTCCCCCCTCCCCCCGAGCTTCCAAAAAAGGGTCGCGAGAATTCGAGAGGGTTTTCGAATGAGTTATAAAATTGTAAAAATGGTTCTCAGTTGTAAATATTCGAAGTAAATTTCGAATTTATTGAAAAATTAGGTGAGCACTGACAAAAACAAATGAGGCTAGTCACTACGCCCCTCTCTTCAAAAAAAATCCCGAACGCTTTCCCCCCCCCCCCCCCCCCGTCCCCTCTCCCATGCAGAACAATTATTTCGGACCGCCACTGCTGCATGAATGCTCCATCTGCTTCCATCTTAGAAAAACAAAATTCAAATATAAAAAGATTTTAGATGTTCCAGGCTAAAAAAGATTCTCTTTACACTAATGAACATAGGTGAAGGGATGGGGGGGGGGGGGGGAGGGAGGGGGAGAGGGGGGGGGGGGGGAGGGGGAGAGGGGGGGAGGGGGAGAGGGGAGGGAGGAACGGGGTGAATGTGAGGTTGTGCAAATAATTGTCTTTCAATAAATAATAAATTTAGAGAATTTGCAGATGCATAAGGAAATTTTCAGCCAATCATGCCCTTGTTTCTATTTTTCAGAAAATTCACGAAAAATTCTTTTCTACTACCCTCCCCACTCTGTATTACAACTACGGTTTCAACCAAAATTACTATTTTACCTCGAACTAGAATCCACGAATAAGCAATGAATTCCTCCAACAGCTTTCACGAGCTGTCCTCTCAGCTCAGGAACATCTGGTCGCATTACCGTAATCCCAGCTGGCTCAGCTGAAATGCACCAATCACGAGAGCTCTATGTATACTGTAGGTGACTTACCGTTCGGTTTAGTACCGTAATACAGGTTACCCGATGATGAGTCAAAAGCCATACAAGTGATGTGATGGACACCTTGAATACTCAACATTGGTCAGGTTTTCAAAAAATCGATCGATTACCTTTATTTGTTACTGTAGTGCAATTTCCACCAATCATAGATCTCCTATATATAGCATGCTGTGAATCATCATAATAGTAAATCAGAGCTTTGACTGAATCCACAGTGAATACCGCAGCATTCTTTATGGAAAAAACTGGAGGAATTGTTGGTTTTACCTAAAAAGGGGCGTGGCTTGCGCTGTCTGCTATTGGTCAGATTGCCTCTACCCAATAAAAGAACACCTACCAAAATCTTCCCAGTAGAGTCGCCCGATAGTCCAACCCCGTGGATCCACATTGGAGATTGCCGCGCATACAATAGCATATTGCCCGTAATTTCACTCGCTGCACATTTGCCTTCCTTCATGGTTAGACCATCCTAGAAAGGTTTTCTTTTTAAAATCAGTATTGGTCCAATCAATCAATAAATTATTCTACCTGACATAGACAAGTGCTTGAGGAGTTTTTATTGAGAACACAGATCTCGCTGCAAGCCGAGCAATCATTCGTACCTAAAAATTCATACTTCATAGGTCCATAAGCCCGGATCTGTGGTTAGGTCAAGAAACCTGCAGGTAGAGCAAACTAATATAGGGCAAATTAAAAATCTGTGAAAAACTCAAGCCACGGGTTTTGTGGTGAAAAATCACATTGAATTATTGCCTAGGGGTGGGAACTTCGTCAGTTTTGAGCCTCCTTCCCTGGCAACTGTGCCTTTTTCAAAGTTATTGCATGTCGTCACAGGATCAGTAGTCCGCAGAGGCGGCCCAAACTGGCGGAGTTCGTTCCCCCAGCCATTGCCTAGTAATGCTGAGAATATTATGATATCTTACATTGGTGGTCCCATAATATTAGGATGGTGCAAAAATAATGAGCGTTTTCCTAGGAGTTTTTTCAGGACAACTTTTCTCCATCAACCGTCTTTCTTTTTTAACGTTTTCAGCACATTGTTAGAAAGCTCTTTTCATGCTCTATCTGAAGATGTTCGAAAGGGACTTCTAGCCCACTCTGTTAAGAATTTATAGAGCTTCACATAATCGCACTCAAAATGAGATTTTCGTTGCATTCACTTTTCTGGCCAGAATTTGAGCGCGAATGAAGATGGTTTATCGAAAATTTAGCCGCTATATGTAACGGAAATTGTCTACATTATGCATATTCAACCATATTTTTTCAAGTTATCTAGAGTGAGATATCGGCGGCTTAACATGGGTACTGGTTGTGGTCATTTTACAGCTCATAACTTTCTTTTGTAAAATGCAGTCGCTCAAACTTTGCTCATCTCTGTAAGCGTGAGGGTAGGAGTCTCATTAGCGGTTTTTGCAAAAACATCCAGCTTTTCAGTACGCGGTAAATTAGAAAATTCTCTACTTCGGGGTTTTGAGGCGTACTGAAAAAATGCTGAAAAAGTTGATTTTTTGAATTTCGAATTTTCCTCTTTGCTAATATGTTTTCTCCAAGCCCTTCCATATATGTCTGTACTACTGGCTTGCGGCTACAAGATAGGCTGCTTATAAATCATGAGAACAAAGTGTGAAAGGAGTTATGTTCTGTCAAAAACAAGGCGTCAGAAAAAAACTCTTTTTGTTTTTCAATCCATATTTTTCTGCTCATATGAGATATGAGTATAGTTCAATGTGCGCTGTACTGCGAAAGGTTCGCTGCATCTGATGGTCTTTATCACATTTCAAAAAGTAGATTTTGTAGAAAGTTATAGCAAGTTAAAGGGAAAATGGGAAAACGCTCATTATTTTTGCACCAACCTAATATTTCTTGGGGAAAAGGGAGCGCGACAAAAAAACTTTTTCGAAAACTCTCGCTGAAAGATTAGGCTGTCAACCAAGCTGCTAGGATAGATTTTCTTGGTCCTTCCGAGAAAATTGTTCACACAGCGATTTAAGTTTTCAAAAAATTGGAAAAAATATTCGATCGTTTCAAAAATGAAAACATTTCGGTTAAACGTTTCTGTAAACATGTATCACCTTTGAAAAAAATTCCCGTCCTATTCTGGCAAAGGGAAAACGTCAGCGAGCTCTCTTCGCAATCGGTCATTTTTAAATATTATATTCAAGGGTGAAAAGAAGCTAAAATCCGAGGAAGCCAGCAAATAATATGCAAGTGAGTTTTTCCAAAGTTGGGGCGAAAAATTGGATAAGCCAGATAGGCAGATGTGACAAATTATGAGGAAGTTTGCCAGAAAAAAATTGGTATCTAGATTTTTGGACAGTCGATTCGTTGATTCTACGAAGGACCACCAATTATTTCACCAAATATTTCGTTCAAAAAAAAAGAAAAAAGAAAACTGACCTTTTTTGTTGGTAAGATTGTGATTGACAAAGAATCCATCAACATTTGTATGGAAATCGACCAGTTCCGATTGTGACGTTAACGTATCCAGCCGGATTAACTCGGCCCTTGTGGGTGCATAGAGAAAGTCCGCGAAGTAGGTTAGCGTCGTTGAATATTTTAACTAAATTTGATAATTTCAAAAAAATAGATATAAACAATTTTTGTAGTTTTACCCTTTTATCATGTAAAACACTTCGCACACTTCCGTTTCTACCGTAATCGACAGCAAAAATCCGTTCAAAATATCGATCGCTGTAGTAGAGCGTTTGCGAAAATGCGTCTACTGCCAAACCTGCAACAGTAATTGATTGTCTGCAAATTGGCGTAAGTTTTGAAGCATCCCACCTCCAGGCATCTGTAGCTGCCTATCCGACATGCTCAACTTAGTGCGGTTCTCGTAGGTCACTCGCCATACTCCAGCATTCTTTCCAACGGTGGAATAGAAAATCAGACTGGAAAAACTTTTCCCAGGAGAAATCGCAAATAAGTTTTTTTTAACTTTTCCTTGGGAGAAGGGGATCTCGATAATTGCAAACAAAATTTACAGCAATGCCAATGACAATAAAAAAAATTAAACGGATTCGGAAAGAAATGCATTCAATTTATTCATGTAGGAAGGACGAGTCAAACTGTGTCCAAAAAAGGGTGTTGCCACAACTATCCAGATTGTCCTAGCAAAAAAAGTCATTTCAAGATTTTTCTAAACCTTCAGTATTTCCAACATCAGAGCAGTACATACTGGATACCATTGATGCAACCAGAGCAGTCATAATTGTTTTAGTGGAGAAACAGGAATTTTTGACAGAAAAAAGAGAAATTTTTAAGAGTGCATCAGCTTTGTAAAATTGAAAGTACAATATTAAGAAACTCTGTAGCAATTAAATTGAAGCACAAAGTTTGAAAAATAAAAAATGGAAAATAGAAAGCAAGAAGTAAATAAAACGTTAAAAACTTGAGAAGTAAAAAATATATTGCTACTCTTGGAAATCACTTTATCGGTCTGAAAAATTGGAAAATGTATACGAGAAAAGTATGAATGTTGGGAGGGACAGGTAGATCACGAGAGGTGAGAAAAGGGAGTTAAGTAAGTAAAAAAGTGATTATGTCCTAAAAAACTTTAAAGATTGCTTTTTTTAAATTCTGAGCAGCAAATTTCTGAAGTAATTTTTTTATCTTAACACCATAAAAATTCACTCACCCGACAGAAGGATCCACAGCAAAACTCTCGATATCAACATCATCCACCACTATACGACATTTTTCCATTTTCAGCCATTCATTTTTACAAATCAACAATCGAGTTCGACCAATGAGGAACAGCCAATTATCTCCGATGAGGTCATGCTGGATCACGCGGATCTCTAAACAAAAAGTGACATGGGACCAGTTTTGGTATGGATGGGGACCAGTTCTCGTATGAATGGGGACCAGTTCTCGTTAGGATCTTGAACATACCATCCAATGGGAAGCTTGCAGTTATATCAGTCTTCATAATTTTTGATGATTTCTTTGCTATTTTTGCACATTCCATGAAAGCATAGGTTAGTGGGTCCTGAAAAGAATAAGCATCTCTGTATGGACAGGAAATTCATTCATAGTCTCCCTTACAGCTTTTACAGCCGCCATAACATAGCAAATCCAATTTCTTTTTGTGTCCGCTGCTGCAGCTATCATTCTTCGATTTTGATTGATTGTACGTTGGAATCTTGTCGGGAAATATTCCCACTGGACTGTTGATGTCAGCACAAATGTATTTCCCAGTACTGCCACAAAACTTCCCGATTGTTCGCCTAGAAAAAACTCCCCTTTGAGAGTTCCTCGATCAAATTTGGAACTCAAACATACGCGGATTACAGTAACTTCCATTTGGCTTGAAATCTTCATAGCATTCACATTCCGTCACCCCACTCGGCAAATTTTGACATATTTGTGAACAAATTGGGACGTGGCCTAGAAAGGGGGCTTTTTCTCAAAAATCAATTTGTTTTCTTCAGCGATATACCTCTAAGCCTTCGGCCGCATTTGTCCTCAGCCACACATCTGTCGCCTTCAGAAATTTGATCCGTCGGACAATAACACACTGGGCCGTCATAAGTGAGTCCTACACCATAGTGACATGTGATATTATGCCCTGAATCAGGGTAGAATGGATAGAGTGAGAAAACACAAATAGCTTTATTTACATTTTGATAGATATGTAATTTTACTTAGAAACTTTATGGGACTCTTTACACCAAGCCACGTGACAGCAAGCCACATAGAACCATGCCACGAATGCGTTGCGTGCGCGCTGCGGTCGCGTTGCGTGCAATTATTTTTGAAGTAATACTGTCCTGTTAGCAACGACTTTCTAGATGGAAGTTCGGACTCTATTTGAAAGTCTCAGTAGACCAAAATTTAACTACGTCCCAATGTCGCATTCAAAAGCGTACGTATGCGCTCCATGTGCGCTGCGGTTGCGTCGCGTGTAGGGCGTGCTAGCAATGACTCTAAGACAGGTAATGAAGTTTAGATCCAACTGAACTTCTTAGTAGACCAAAATACTAATATGCAACTGAGTACGTTCAACTGCAGCTTAGAAACGCGTTCCCGTCAGTTTCGCGTGCTGTAACAAAAAGTTATAGAGTGATTCTTTTGAATAGGAGGTGAAGTCTTTGAAGGTACTTTCAAACTTACCCAAATTTTTAGGATGTAGGAAAAATCAAGTGTCGCATTGTCACATAAAAGCGCGTCACGGGTGCATTGCGTGCGCGCTGCGGCGCGTCGTGCACAATTTCATCAACCCTGTCGAGAAGATTTCACATCCCGGACATGCTTAGTGAAACAAAGCTCAAACGCACAAACAGTTATGTATGTCTATAGTCTACGCAAAAAGATGCGTTAGGTATGTGCTGCAGCGCGCTGCGGTTGCGTCGCGTCCTACGATAAAACTCCGCGAAAGCGATACTCTTGCACCAACAGCGCCTCTTATAGAAGAGATAAAATTATGACCATATTCAATCTTTACTACGTCAAAATCTTAAACTTACAATCTTCGCATTTATGATGCTCATCTGAATGATCCGTACAATCTATGATACCATTGCAAAATTGCGACAAATGTATACATTTAGTCTCGTGACGACATGAATAGAAATTTGGTGGACAAGCAGCTTTTTGTAGACCTGCAACAATTTTGAAATTTCGCCATTCCGTGAAAAGCATGCATATCGATTGGTGTGATTAGGCTTACATATAGAAGGATCTTCATCAGAGTCATCGTCAATACCATTACTACCACAATCAGCAGTACCATCACAAAGGTATCGTTTCGGAAGGCAGCGTCCAGATTGGCAGCGAAACTCGTCCGAACCGCATCGCGCTGAATGGCGACAGAGTATAGACATGCCGCACATGTCTGTATGCACCTACCGCAAAAGGACAACTCGTCCGATCCGTCTGCGCAGTCTTGTTCTCCATCACATTTCCATTTTAATGGCACACAATGACCATCACATGCGAATTGGCCAATTCCGCAGGCCACTAAAAAAATTCCGGAAATCAATAAAATCATTACGGTCAAAAAATTTATGTTCAGCAAAAATCCAATGAGCTGAATCCGACAAATTTACAAAATCAATACAAAAGTTGAAAATAGCAATTTCTTAGATAGGCAACATTGGTGCTAAAAACCCGAATAATCAATAAAATCAATATAAGCATAAAATCAAGTGATAGTAACGATAAAATCCACTAGTTGAATCCCAGGATATTTTTTAGAATCTAATAAAATCAATACAACAAGAAAACTAGTGATGATAAGGAAACTGATTATTTGCAGTGAAAATTTACAAAAGTTGAAATGTACCGTAAGCTCACCTTCGTTGTTGGACCAATCAGCTTGTGCGGCGACATGTGACCCATGTGGCGCCAATAAAACCCAGCATAATCCAAGTAGAACACCCGTATCTAGCATCACCAGCTATTACATCTACTTTTTTTTGCGGAATGTGCGGTGTTCTTGCCTGGAATTTGTCCGCATAAGGGCAAAGAGAGGAAATGGAATAACTGGAGGCGAAAAAGAATAGGTAATCGTTTCTCAAGTTGGGGAAATTGAGGTATATTGAGAAATAAAATGTATTCGAATAAGGTGAGAGTCCTAATACCTTCCTTTATAGAGAGTCGAAAAACATTTTTAAGTTTTCTTTTACAAATAGATGCAAAACACGAGACAAGAGTTATTTATGATTCAGCACGGAATCCAGCTGAAGTTTTATTTTGCACTTTGGAGTTATTTTGCAAAAATTTAGGTCCCGATATTGGTTCTGCAAGTTAAGACTCCTAACAATATAAGTTCTTAAAACCTTTCCCAAAGTAAAAATATTGCTAAAGTACTTCAATTTCAAAATATTTGGAGATTTGGCGGAAGAACCGATTGGTTTGCCGGGTTCATTGTTATCATTGAAAACTTGATTTGAAGAAATTCTGCTGAGCGCAAACCATTCACATCCAAATAAAAAAGTTGATCATGAGAACTCTTCATTATTAAACTCTTTTTCATGGTTTTTTATTGGGAAGTTGCAACTAAAATTTTGCATAATCTGAATGTTCTGACTTATGTAGATAGATCTCAACAATTTTACCGGAAATGCAAGAATTGCATAATCTGAATGTTCACACTTATCAGGATAGGTTTCAGTAATGAATCACAGAATTTTCTTTAGCAGAAAATAATATTTTTGCTTTGTCCAAAAATTTGGGCTAATCAGACCTGAATTTTGAAAAAAAAGTTAAGCACATGTTCTGTTCTCCGCCCCATAGAAACTTCTGAAAACATCAAACACTATGAAAAACCACCAATCCAAAATATAGAAAAATTAGTGACAGATTGGGAAAAAAAGTTGCGAACAATGAAAATTGAGTATCAATCAATAATAACAAATAAAGCAGTAGGAATAGCAATAACAATCATAATGACAATGATAATGGACAAATATGAGTTAAAATACTTGATAAGTAACAATTAGCAAGATATAGCAGAAGTAAAGAAAATGAGGAACTCTAAAACAACAGAGATAGGAATATTTCGTTCGGTAAAGCACCACAAGCAAAAGCTGATAGCTGCTGAAGTCGAGGTTATGCTATGTTCGGATAAGTCTTGCACAGAAAGTTCCAAAAAATTTATTTAAGAATGCTTAGAACACTTTTCAATCTGTATGGCATTTTTTCGTTGTATGTGATTTACGCAGTATTTTGTCCCAATTTAATGATTTTATTGTAAACAATATCAAACTCGAAAATTAGAACTTCCTGTAAAGATGTTCTATTGGCATGAATTCATTTTGGTTGAAAAACGCAGATCATAAAACTATAATAAAAAATAATTTTAGAGATTTCTGAACTTTTTAGCATTTTTGAATTATAAATTGGAAGAAAGCAATTTGAGGGTTTGCACTCAACAGGTCTTATTGCCACGACATGACATTTGTCGATCCTTGTTTGAGAATATCAAAAAAAGAGTGAATTCTGCTCTCTTTTTCTAATGGAAACACTGCACCTGAAGGAGAATACGGAATTTTGAATAATTTTGGTGCAAGACTTACATTCCAACCTATTTGAGTAAGTGCACAGGCTCTGCGAAAACGGAAACCCCTCTGTTAAGTATTGAGGAAAAATGGCTTCTTGAAGAAGTGGTTGGGCAAAGGATGCGAGATTGCTTTGAATAAATCATAGTTCTAGAGGAACGCAGAAGCCCTTTGAAAACTTGGAACCTAGGCGTTCTCCATCACTCATGACTCAGAGAAAGCCAATCTTATGGTGGGAAAGAAAGAGACAAGGGCAGTCTCCAGGATTTCCGTTCTGGAGAAGGGCAACGAATAAAATCTTTTGAAGGTGCGTGGCGTTAGCCAAAACGGCAAAAAATGAATTTTTGAAATAAAATATTACTCTGATTATTTACAAGTATAAGCAAGTCACTTTCACATTTTTATAAATCAAGTAAGTAACTCTTCAAGAGAAATGGGCTCGTAAGCCACAATGAGGGGGGGGGCACAATTAGATTCAGTGGAGCTCACAAACAAGAAAAATGAAAATTAGTGGAAAAAGAACAGAGAGATAGAACCCTTTTAGAGGAAAAAAAATTACATTTCCCGCGCAAAAAAATCTCCTTCACGGTAGGGAGGAACTCATTTTACTCAAAGTGCATTGTGTATAGTTGGAAAAAATCCATTAGGGAAAAGATATTTGGGTTTTTTTGTCAGAGAGAGAAAGCAAAAGTGGTTGAAGGACGAAGTAATAGAAAGAAGGTAGAGGGAATGGAGAAGAGGGGGGGGGGGGGGAGGAAAAAAAGTGAGAAATTTCTTAGAATTTCATATGCACAGAAAACTATACATGAATAAGAGTTTTGGAATTTTTTCCATAGGGTGGATTGGAAGTTTGTTTATCAGTTTTTTTTCACAAGATTATGGAAGCAGAGTATAACAACACGGCAGAATTTTTTACAGATGCGAAAAATTGGAAATTTGCCAATTTTTCTTTTTTTCTTTTACCAAAGATTATAGTTGCATGCTAAAGCGAATTTTGTCCAAGCATTTGAGGAAATTTGGAAATCAAAAAAAATCTCAATGATAGTTTCAATATTAAAGGATGAAAGTCGCGCGAAAGTCGTGCGCGGGTCGCGAAATGTTTTGGAAATTCAATTCTGTTATGGACGCTAAGCAATTAGCCAGGTAAAAGTCTGGAACCCTCTTGCAGCAACGAATCGCATAAGTAATGAGCACCATTAGTGCCCTTTCTTGAAGTTTGGCACTAACCAGCCTCATAATTTGGGATTCCGAAATAATCCTCCCACTCCCTCCCCCCCTATGTGTTTCCCAAACCAAGCCATAACATATGTTTAGTTTGTGTTTATGTGGATGACCCGGCTAATTACGGGGGGTGTCATTGGGGGGATGACGTGAATTGCATTATGTACGGCTATAGTACGATGAACAACGAGTAATTACCCGAGCTCCGACGGGGTCAATTCGATCAATTCCGCCCGCATGGGCTTGACGTTCCGTCATGGCATGTGCCCCGTGGCGACGGACGTGACCATTACGCTAGCGTAATTCCCCGCGGATATTCGCTCGCCAAAGTGCAGGAACGCGGACGCTAATTTGGCCGTAAATAGTAGTCTTCGGGATGAATGACCAGATATGAGTCGTTCTGATAATATATAGCTCACACGCACAGCTTCATAGCCAAAAAATCCTAAAAAGCCGTGCGCGAGTCGCGCAAGCTCTAAGATGAATCACCTTTTTGTAGTATTCCTAAATGCTATTTTTCAATCATCAAAGATGTGAGGCTAGCATATGGAAGATAATATAAAACTTATATATGATAGCAGCTTCAAAAACTCAAATCCCGAGAAACGGTGCGCGAGTCGCGCAGTCGAACAATTAGATGATGTTGGATTACTTACTTCTTGTTGTGCCGAATGAAATTTAAAGAATCAAAGGTTCATCTTAGCTATACAAAAAGTAAAAAGCAGTTTCGTAGTACTTAAAAAAGATGCGGACACCGATATTGATTTTTGCTGTAGCTAAGCCAAGATGGTATGATCTTTTTATTACCATCTTGGTGCGGACACCGTGCGCGAACCGCGCAATCTAAAGACAAAAGTCTTTGTTCTGCTTAACATTGGAATTTTCTTCATGATAAAAGGTTCACCAGGTACTACCAGATTCACCAGCTTTTATATCTGAAAGGGGGTTCACCGCGCTTAGAAAAAAGAACCGAGAATGTCGCGCGCGAGTCGCGCAATTTTTGTGGAGGTAATTTTGCAATCTGCATTTAATCTGCAAATCGTTTCATTTTTTTAGATTTACGAACATCCACAAGAAGCTGTTTGTGCTTATAGAAACCGATTTTATACTCATTGAAAATTGTGAAGAAGGCGTGTGCGAGTCGCGCAAAAAGTTGAGCAGAACAACATGAGATTTGGTGTATCCTGCGCATAGAACAGCTTTTAAAATGAATCACTTAGGTCAGCGCGAACATTTATCAAGGTGTATTGGATAGATAGCAGCATAAATACGCGTGTTTATAGACCAGGAAGGAATAATTTACTATAAAGAATTATGTGTTATGTTGGTTGCGCAGTGCGCGAGTCGCGCACACTTTAGGCTAAGACATTTGGAGTTAGGATCCATTGAGTACGAATATATACAGATAGTCAGACAGTTTTACTCAAACCCCTTAGTGAATAGGCCACAAAAGTCTTCAACAATGGCGCGACTCACGCACGGTTTAGACGACAGGAGCAAGCAGGAAAGAACATAGACATGTACATTGCTGAGAATGCGAAATAAATAGTAATAAAGGTTGGAAAATGGATTTAGAAAAAATGGTTTTTGCGGTGGGAGGGGGAGGGGCGAGAAGGAAGAAGGAATTGAAAAAAAATATAAGAAAAATGTGAGATGATATGACACCTTACCACCTCTATCGCGCAGAATTTAAAAACTTTAGAAACTCTTGAAAATGCTACTTCTTTGTTGATGCTCTAACAAAGACCGTCTCAAGCGAAAGGTATTCAAGGACGAGTTTTCAGTCGCAAATAACAGTAAGAGGGAGGAAAGTAACACTTATACAACAAAGAACGCGAGAATTCTCTCGTAAAAGCACTTAATGGAAATGTAGAGGGTAGAAAAGGGACGGACGAGTTCCTCTCTGCTGTCCGTGCCAAAATGCTCGATATCGGTGCTACGAGTTGAGTTGTACAGCATTCTCACTTAACAGCTGACACACGGGGGGGGGGGGAGAAATCTATGACAGGGCGATTGATCCGAAAGATGAGAACTTGGAACGTTGCAAGTGGTGAGGACATAGTCACTAGAATGTCGCAATTTTGCAGAAGAAGAAGAAGAGATGCTTCAAGAGAGTGTGAAAAAGTGCAACGCATGTGCAGGCGTTGAATTGAATTTCCCGCATTTTTTA